ATCCTTTCCCTCAAGGAGTTTGCAGACTCAAGTCTGTCTTTCCCCCTCTCTCTCTTTGAATTTCTCTCTCTCTCTCTCCCTGCCCCCTCATTTATTGCTTGTTTGTTTTGTAACACACCTTGTCTCTCTGACACCCCACAACCACCATCACCAACAACTGGGAAAACTGGGAAGACCCTATACTTCTTGCCTTCCACTTTGAGGCTTTGTTGCACTTTGAATTGAAAGATGTCAGAAGACCTGCCAGCCAGCGGACTCTCAGAAAGTAGCCTATTTATTACCAGTCAGGGCCTTGCGAGTCAAGACGCTACACCTTTATAGAAGTCTAGAAACTCAATAATACAGCCAGATTTCATCAAGTTCAGAGGGACCAATTCATGCTGTTCAAACTTACAAAAAACGAATTTCTGAACTAGAATGCTAATTTCTGATTTACTTTGGAGGTACAGCTGCCATAATAACCAACATCATTCATAGGTTTCATTCTCTCCTGGTTTTAGATTCATAAATCAGAAAGTTTCTCAGTGAGCATATGATCCAAGTTAACTGGATGTGTTCATGGAATATGCTCGTTAGACGGGCTGACTGATGAACACTTGTTTCACTGAAGCACCACCATTACTAGAGCTCTCTCATGTGCCCCGGGGACTCGCTCTACCTCGTTCCCAAGATGCACCTCAGTATCACTAAAATATTAGGGAAATTCCATGCTTCCAATTTTATGCCATTGCAGGGGCTGTTATAATATAGATTCACAGAGTAGGATCTAGATTCCTTGTTCTCAAAATCCAGTTTGGAGCATAGCATTCTGTAAAATCCTCGAGTTCCTTGCTCTGTGAGACTAACTCATTATACTGACCTAGATAGTTTAATCTGATTCCCCTCTGTGTGTGTGAGTATGTATGTGGTTCTTACAACTCGTTGACTCATCGTTAATGAACTAGAATGGGGTTTAGTGATAAGTACAAACTAGACTTCATGTTTACATTCGTACCTAACACTCCACTCTAGGAAATGTCTAGTCCTTCTTCAGAGCCCCACTTAAATCTCACCTCCTTGCATGGATCCTGAGTACGCCCTCCCCATTCCCAGGCAGAGAGAATAATACTCCCTTCTCTCTGTTCCCACAGAAATTTTCACAGTTATTTCTTCTTCTGTCATTTTGCGTATGGTAATAAGTGATCAAATTGTCAAGTGTGAGCCAAAGTTTTCTCATTCATCCTGTTCATCTTTGTACTCTTTGTCCCCAGAAGGAGTGTGGCATATAACTGGTGCATAATGTGTGTCTTGGATGGATTAATAAGCATGTCTCTGCAGATAACCACTGCAGGTCTAGAACAGACATCCTCAAACCAAATCCAGCCCCCTCCTGTCCTTATAAAGTCCTACTGAAACACAGCCACACTCCCTCAGTTGGACACAGATGTCTGCTTTCCTGCTACAATAGCAGAGTTGAGTAGTCGTCACAGAGACAGGAAACCACCATCTGAAATGTTTTTATTATCTGTCCCTTTACAGAAAAAGCTTGCTGACCTCTGGTCTAGACATATATTTCCTTCCACTGAACACTGCTGGATACACTCTGAAAATGGTCTAGTCATTGGTTACCCTTTCTCTAGATTTTTAAAAAAGTAGTAGTATACAATTGCTTTTGGTCCATCAAGTTACTACAAAGGCAGTGATTAACTTATAGTTGTATTGGATTGCAATGCTGGGGGAAATGCCCTGGTATTATCAAACACCTCCCTGGAGCTGGGGCTTGTTAAACCACAAGTCATCATATCGTGGTCGTATTTGTGGGACCTCAGTGGGAAATAGGATAGAAAGAGTCCCATTATAACTGGCTAAATGATAAACATCCAACCCCATTTTAGCTAGAATCCGAGGAAATAAAAGATTATTTCTAGAGGTTTCGAAAACAAGTTCTGTGCTAGTCAGAGGCACGAGCGCTCTTTCACCAATGCCTGTTTGAGTAACCTAAGGCTACCTTGCTGGTCTCCAGACTACACAGCAGTGCGCCTCTGCTCAGACAAGGTTGAACAGAGTCAATTCAGCTCTGTCAGTTTTCTTGTGGTGATTGCTCGAGAGTGTTATTCCAAGTGTATGTTCGCTATTAGCACATTGCCTGACACACACCACGCCTTCAAAATTGTTGAATGAATGTCCTAGCAAGTAGAGATACTCAGGATTCATTTACCATTAATATATATATTTCTCATTGGTCAGAGGAGGGAGAGGTTGTACCCAGCCGAGGTTGGTCAACCAGACGTGACCAGGAGCACACAGGGTAACCACTGAAGTGCTGAGAAAACACAGAGGGGATGTAAGGAGGGCGTGCCATGCAGGGAGAGTGGCAGCACCAGAGACGGGCACATGCCAGACGAATTCAGAGGCGGGGGCTGCCCCAGCCTGCCTGGAGCAGTTTGGTCACGTGGGCTAGATGGGCTGCACGCAAAATTGAGCAGGTGGGTTACGTCTCTAGCTGCAGAATTTAAATACTTTGGGTACCTTACCTTACTAGGAACCCACACGATGTCTGAGCAGAGAAACAAAGAGAACAAGACACGAGGTGTGGGAAAGATGAGCTAGGAGACACGGTGGGGGCTCGCCTGTGAGGAGCGGCCGTGGACAGAGACAGGAGCTGCAGGAACCTTGGAAACAGACGTTCCCTAGATACGGCAGGAGGAGCAGGAGGTCAAAACTGATCACAGGGTTTCTAGCCTCAGAAAATACGGTCTTATCTTTAATAGAAAATAGGAAATCAGAAACATTGTAAGGAATGATGATCAATTGGTTTTGTGATAGAGGAGGTTGTGTGCTCAGGAGAGAAGCCAGGCCTGGGAGTCCCCACAGTACAGGGAGAGGTAGTTCAGACTCTTGTTGCACTGAGATCGAGGAGAATGAAGTCCATAAACGCCTTAATATCTGGCTGTCAATCTTTCACTGCCTTTGAAAATGAGGACCAGGTCCCTGGAGTTCGAATTGCTCATGAAGGTAGTGTTGGGGAAATTTCAAAAAGCCTAATAGAAATTTTACATAAAGATAAATAAACAAACAAAAATGTCACATGTCTTTCTCTTTTTCTGAAATCATAACAATCCAGTGTTGGTTTTTACGCAGACTAGAAGTTCTGATGTCCGTTAACGTGGACTTGATTGATTTAAAATGGGAAAGTGCATTGTTACCTAATCTTGCCTCTTCAGCCTTTTGAAAATATTCCTGTAAGTGTTCCTTGGAACACACTTTGGCAAATGTATCAGATAATGATGTGAGGTTGCCTAGCAGCAGGCTCTGCGATGGGCAGAATCAGGCTGTAAGTCCCAAGAGGTCCAATAACTACAACACTAATAGGTTACAGAGTGTTTCCATGTACATTGTCTCATCTGGTCCTCTCGCCACTCGTTAAAACATCTCCCAGCTAGCTCTAATTCAGAAAATAATTAGGCAGTCTCCTTTTTAACTTTTCACAGTCCTAGCCATTAAGAGTTGCTTTAGGATTGATCTGGAAGGATCCAGCATTTTCTTTTCTTTGGCTTCTCTTAATAGAACTGAAATTCTGCTTTTATTTTGTTTTTTTTTAATGTCCATTAGCAAAATCACCTCAGAAGGTATTTGTGCCATGTCTGCGGCTTTTCTTTATATGTGTGTGTGCCATCTGGGGCCATTTAATCCAGTTACCCAAAGAGTAACCATGCAAATACAGTAAATATTTGAGGTTAGAAGTGGATTTGGACGTGGACATATTTCTGACTCTTGTATTTTGTTATGTACATTTCAAGGAGTTATTGTTAAGTTGAGTATCACTAACTAAAAATATGAAAAGTTCATTGCGAAAAATCCGTAGAGTGTTTGTCAATATCCTGTGCTTCTTTAAAGCTTTGACTGTAGACTCCTATTGAGAACTGTGTGCATCCTTCATGTTTTGTAAGTATGTGTGATAAGAAATCTCTCCTGAAATAAACAAAATTATAAGCAAAATTAACCTGCATAGTGAATTGAGCACTTTCTTAGGAGGACTATTCTCTCTGCACTCCACACCAGGAAGTTTCTGGAATTTTCTTTTTCTTAATTTTAAAGAGATAGAGACAGACAGACACCAGTAGCCAATTAGGAAGGAGTAGTTTCACACTCTAATATGCATCAACATTGAAACACCCTTTGTTAATCATCTCAGATAACTGGATATGCTGAAAGATAATGCCAGACAGCATCCTTTGCTACATGATTCCAGGTGGGGCCTTAGGAGTTACCTGCCTTGGCCAAGGTGGAGTGAGTTGCACCGTAGAGTCCAGCTCCTACCCTGAGCCTTGCGCTCCGCTCACAGAGCCTGTCCACGGGCATGCGGAGTGCCAGCATCAACCGGAGGCAGAGCCCCTTCAGCTCCGAACACTGAGGAGCGTTCGGCGTCTTCAGCATCACGGGAGGCTGGCCAACTTACGTCCAACCCAACGTCAAAGAGAGGCCTTTCAAAGATATCCATGCCTTAGAGCTGAGCCCCTGCGTAAGGAAGTCTTCCCCAGGTCCTGTCTCCTCTGTCCCAGGACTGGCCACAGGCCACTAGCAGGGGAGAGACCAGAGGGGAGCTCTGACTCTCACTTTCTCCCTAAGTCTCTCAGACTCTCAGGGCTGACTTTCTGTCCTGGACTCGAGTGATAAGAAGGCACAGGAACAAAAGGAAAGTCATGCTGGTCCCTGCTTTTAGTATAAAGGGTGATTTGACAGTGTTTACTGCTCCTTATTATGTTCATTCCAGTGAGTTTGAAGCTAAAGCTCGTTGTGATGAGTATTGAGCCTTGGTCCAACAGGGCATCTCCCGGCTTAACTGAATGTTCCTTGGTATAGCTATGTTTCCTAATCTTTAAAAAAAAAAAGCAGCCATGATTTTCTTTTACTGTTAGAAATTAGGCAGATCTCTTCAGAGATGCATTGACTACTATTGACTCGTAGCTGTAAAAATGCTAACAATAATTGGTCTCTCTTTGCATATGTGTGTCTTCCAGATGGCGCCAAAGGTTCCAGATCACCGAGGGCATCCAGCTCTTTGGTGCTGCAAGGAGGAAAAATTAAGCGGAAGTTTGTGGATCTGGGGTAAGCACTTCAGGATGTCAAAAGCAGCCCTGTGTAAAAGGAGGGCTACAGGGGAACACGTCGGCTTCCCCTTCCCGACCGTGCTCTCTTTGTAGGGCACCACTGCGAAGGAACTCCAACAGGGGAAAGAAATGGAAGGACAAAGAAGCCAATAGGTTTTCTTCGGGTAACAGGTATGGGTGAGTGATTAAGAACACAGGTTTGTTTCTAAATCAGCTCTCTGGCCCTCTTCCACTGTTAACCAAAATCAATGGTCAGTATTTTTGATAACACCTAGAGGTGAGATAAAAGAAAATTTCCCAATTTGTATTTGTCTTACTCCAGTTAAAGCCTACACTGGGCCTTGGGATATCCATTGGCTTCTTTGCAGAATTTTGATCACATGAACAGTTTCACCAAATATTTATCTAAGTACGACACAGTTACATCTGTGTGATGCTAAGTACCTGTTGGCTTTCGAGACTGTCAGTCCAGGTGTGTGTCAGAAGGACTGCGTCTCTGCTGGACGCGGCTGTGTGTCGGTCTGCCCCGCCCTCCTGCCGCCGCTCCTGGAGGGGTGAGCTTTGTACCGCCTGTTGTCTAGTTTCCCAGTTTGGTTCTGACATAACTTCCTTTCAGACTTAGGTGTGTATAGGGAGACAGCGAAGCAGAGAGCTCTGAGTCTGCCTGCCTGGGTCTGAACTGGAGCTCTCTCCTTTGAAGTCCTGGACAAGGTGTTGAGCTTCTGGGTCTCCATGTTCTCATCTGTGAAACAAGGGTCACAACAGTACCTACGTTGTAACGTTAGTGTAAGGGTTACATGAGTTTTCGTGTATAGCATTTAAAGTGGTACCTGCCACGTAGGAGGCATTCAGAAATAATAATAATAATTTGCTGCTATGATTATTGTTTGCAAGTTGCAGAGAAGTTCTCTATTTATTATTCCATTTGGTTCTTACAATAAAATCGGAGGGCTGATAATAATACCAAACTTTATATAGGAAGAACTTCACCTCCATATAATTTAATTGATTACCCCAGGATTATGCAACAGGCGGTCAAAGCCAGTTAGCCGGGGCCTGTTCCCTCTGTCTAGATGTCTTTCCAACACTCATGTCATCTTCAGGTACTTATGCATCTAAGGGTTTCGTTTTCTTTTTTCAATTACAGTTTAGATTCAGTATTATTTTATGTTAGTTTCAGGGATACAGCACAGTGGTAAGACAATCAAGTACTTTACAAAGTGGCCCCTCCGATATTTCAAGCACTCACCTGGCACCACACGTAGTTATTACAATATTACTGACAATATTCCCAAGCTGTACTGTACATCCCATGACCATTCTGTAGCCACCAGTTTGTACTTCTGAATCCCTCTACCTTTTTCACCCAGCCTCCAACGCCCCGCTCTGAGAACTGTGAGTCTGTTCTCCGTGACTATGAAACTGTTTTTATTTTGTTTGTTCTTTTATTTTGCTCCTGAGATTCCACATATAAGTGAAATCATATGGTATTTATATTTCTTTATGAATTTTGGGAATCATCTCAAAAGCAAAGACTAGGGAAGATAACAAAATGCTAAGAATAAAAGACCATAAGATCATCTGGGGACCACTTATCCATTTCGTAGGTTGTCCTCTGCCGTTTGTCCCCCCCACCCCTTCCTGGCACACCACATGGTGAGAACTTACGCTTTCCCCCTGGGATTACAGAAGAGGGGGGGATGAGAAGGAAAATTTCAAGTTAATTCATTTTGCTAGTCTGGGTTTTCACTATTCTGTGGAGTGGAGAAGGGATAGAGTTGTGTTTGCACCGAGGACAACCATCTCAGAAAAAATAAGACCATAATGCAACTCAAAGGAGGTTTCTCTTTTTATGATTTTGGAGTGAGAAGTATAAAAACAGTCTGCTTTGTGCCTTAAAGTTAAGAATAGAAACTATCAAATATACTTAGGGAGAAAGAAAAGAAACAAATAATGAAAGTGTTTCAGGGAGAGAGAAATGCCCAGATACGCAGTGGGAGAGAAACACAGACCCTCTGAAGGGACACGGTCCTCCCTTTGTCCCTGGGCTCCTGAGGGCAGTCACTCCCTCGCCCCGTGGAGGCTACAAGGACATAGCACAGGCGTCCAGCAGGCGTGCGAGTTCGCCTGGATGTCATCGTAGTAGCCAGAGTATTACCACCTTGAATAAATTCCAGGTGAAAATCCAGCGCCTGGACCCTCTTGGTGATTGCTCATCAGGGTCTAGGCGAAACCGTGGGTCCCCAGCGGTGGGCTTTGTGTCCCCTGCCTCCCCGGAGCTAATGCCAACTCCCGACCCAGCCAGGCTTCCGCTCGGTAGTCACAGACGGGTCCTCGTGGGCCGACGCGCGGGACACTGCTAAACGGGAAGCATAATTTTCAAATTAGTTGTAATTACAGTAGAATTTTGACACCTGAAAGGAATTCATGTACTGGAAATAGTAGCACAGGGAAGAAGAGGGACTTTTTCTGTTTCAGAGAAAAGAATTTTTTGAGCTCACAGTAACTTGGTTCCCACTGATCAAATCTAATGACAGACTTTGTTCTTCGGTGTAGCTTGATAATGTCCAGACTCGTCTAAAACACCCTCCCGGAAGAACAGTTGCTCCCCGCGGGCGCAGTGCAGTTGAGCGCAGGTAGGGTGTCTGGAGGTAGGGGTGCGAGGGACCGTCCGGCACAACTGCAGTTGTGGCTTCTGGGGTACATTCACCATCCCGGTGAGGCTGTCTCAGGAAAAGCAGAGTAATTCACGGACTGACTTCGTCATTTTATCTCCTAGGCATTTCTTCCTGTTCTTATAAGGTTGTAAACATCTGATGAAGTCTTTCAGTTCTAATCTGAGCCTATTAGACATTAGAAAGGCAGGACATTTACTTAATTTGATCTTGGTTTTAGTTTTCTCCTTCCCAAAGAGTAAAGAATTTACTTTATTGTATTTCTTACGGAGGCATACTGACTCACACGTGGCCGACCCGAAACAAACAGATGAGGTTAAAACAGTAGTAAACACACACAAACCCTACAAAGAAATGTGGTTTGGCTGATCCTTGCCCACCTGTGCTCAGTGGACATTCTGACCGAGACAGCTAACAGCCCAGAACGAAAGCAGGACACGTTTAGTTGTCAGAGCTTCTTCATCCCCTGAAGGACATGCCAGAGAGTAAAATAAAACCGTATCTGAAATTCCGGGGTGTGTAGCCCCCCACGTCCGTGCACGGAAGCCCTCGGATTAGCCAGGAGTGGAAAGCCCCGTGAGCAGACCTGTGTGTCCCAGAACAAGGCTCGAGGGTGCCGCGGGGTACATGACGGGGACGGAGATGGCACTTCTCGAGGGAAGTGAGTCTTCATTTGCCTTAAGTGTGAACAGTGGAACAAACACTGAGCCGGCATCCAGGTATTCATCTGGCTTTGCCATGGGTAACTCTCTGAATTCCTTGGACCTAGTAAAATAATCAAAAATATAACTATGACTTGTGATTCTATTTTTTAAAAAATGATAGTGAGCCATTAGTGTAGAAGCTAAACAAAAGAAAGGAAAGGGAGTACAGAACACATACCTGTTTTGATGCCCAAAAAATTCTTTTCAGATCCATTAAGGGTTTATTTCCACTGATCTTGATTTTTCAGTGGGATTATTAAGGATGTATACAGAGCTTATACACCTTAGCCCATAACCTGCCCTGAGACTCCAAATGTCAAGAAAGGAAGGAGGAAGGGAAGAAAAGGAAGAAAATCTTTTATCTTAGTTTTAATACATTTCTCCACAGAGTGAAACAGGCTGTAAGAGTGGTCAGTAATAGCCCTGGATGGTTTCACTCAGCGGATAGAGCGTTGCCACAGACTGAAGGGTCACGGGTTTGATTCCTGGTCAAGGGCACATACCTGGGTTGCAGGTTCAATCCCCGGCTTCTGTTGGGGTCGTGCAGGAGGCAGCCATTCAGTGCATCTCTCTCACATCAATGTTTCTTTCTCTCTCTCTCCCTCCCTCTCTCCCACTCAATCTAAAAAATCAATGGAAAAATATCCTCAGGTGAAGATTAACAACAACAACAACAAAAGGTGGTCAATAATAGAATAACTGCTACCAAAACTCCTCTGCTCCTTTTGTAGACTCAAAAGTTCAATTTATCCAGAAGGAAATTGGCCTTTATTTTAGAAAGTGTGTCTGGCAAGCTGATAGGTCTTTGGTTTTAATGTAATGGAGAGTTTGCTTTTTTAAATAAGTATTCTCTGCTCTAGGTCCAAGCAAATGGGAGCTTACCACTTTCAGTTCTTTGTGGATACTGGCAGACACAGAGGTCACGTTAGTTTATGGAGTTCTAGAATCAAGGATACACAAATAAACGAGGGGACAGGATACAGCCTCAGCAGGGCACAGCCAGACCTCCCTGAGGACTGGAAACTATTCTCCAAGGGACCGCAGGGCCTGGTGGCTGCAGCTGTGAGGACCTGGCTGTCTCCTTAGACGAGGGCTGGCCTTGCCTTCCAGTGACTTTTCCTCCGTTATCTCCCATTATCTGAGAAAGCCTCTGTGTGTCACCGGAGGCTGGGCCTCCAGCATCTCCTTCCTCACGCCCCCACGGTGGCCTCCGGGCCTGTGCAAGTTCACCTGGAATTGTTAGTCTTGAATGTTTTCCTGGCAGTGAGGATTTTAGGAAAGCGTTTAGATGTGGTCTTCAGGTTTAGTTTAAAATGTTGCCTGGCCAGGATTTGCACTACCAAAAGTCCTTTTCCAATAAGTCATTAGAATGACAAACATTAGGCACCAACATTCTTATTTTCTGCCTATTAGGTGGTTCCGAAAGCGTTGCTACAGAGGCTGTTCGCTTGGGAAGAGAACAAGGTAGTCGAGCTGTCATTACCAGTGGCCTGTTGATCAACTTTACAACAGCATCCATGGGTTGGAGCACTGCTGTACCTTATTTGCATTGCGATGGAACTCTTACAGAATGTCCCCCATCGCTTTGATGAATTGATTCATAACTGTATAAGCAAAGGAGAAAAATAATCATGAGGTCCAGTTTATCTCAGACATGCCCAATTACAAGAGTGGGAGACCCCAGAGAAAATATTTTTATATTGGCGCTTTCTCAGCATTTTTACTGGAATGTGGGGCCTCAGCTAAAAGGCAAACCTCAGCAGTTAAATTATGGGTAGACAGTGAGGTCTGCGGAGAGATTCACCTCCCCAGCGGGATGGAGTTACATTTTCCAGGGGTGGGAACGGGGAGAGGGGGATGCGACCCATCTCTGTGGAGACATCCTCAAGGCTGTAAAGCTGGAGATAGCTCGTTGATCTCCCCCTGGGACATGCACTGCTTTCCAAAGGCTAAGAGCCCACAGTCCTTCCCAAGTTGGATTAGTTTACATGGAGGAGATAAGATTTCTCTTCCTCTCTCAGAGGAGAGGCAGGGGCGGCTGGCCCTCTCCTGTAACCATCCAGATTCATATTTTCTAGTGTTCTCACCTACAGTGTAGACCAAGTAGAGGACATCTGGTTCTCATCATGTCCCCCTAGAGAGGAAACTATGGTGTGGGGAACCAGTGAGATCCTTTTCTGTAAGTAAATAACCTGTTCGGATCCAGAAGCCTCGTGGTTGCATTCAGAATCATACTAATAGATAGAGAAACTACAGATTGTAAGAGTCAGCTCAGAAATGTGTTAAAGCAGATTCCAGGTCAGTTCCTCCCTTCTGCTCCCCCAAGTTCTAATTCAGTAAGTCTGGGTGTCCAAGAATCTGCATTTGAACAGCTGCCCCAGTGATTCCTACCAGACTGGTCCCCGACCCGGGAGGAAAAAGCACTTCCTACAGAAAAGACCAGTCGGCCAAGTTCAGTCATTGCCCTCCTCTCCTCCATCTTTTGACAGTAAGTAGGTGGATTTAAGGATACAAATTGTTTTTTTTTTTTTTACTTTAGGATAAAATTGAGGGTGTCTGACATATCTCTGGTTGGTCTTCCTCTGTTATCCTTGCAGACCCCTTTGTGGTTTTGTTGTTGTTGTTTTTAATGTACCATTTAGCCCTGGTCTGTGTGGCTCTGTTGGTTGGGTGTCATTTTGTGCACTGAAAGGTCGCTGGTTTGCAGGCTCAGTTCCCAGTAGGGGGCGTGCAGGAGGCCACTGACTGATGTCTCCCTCTCACATCAGTGTTTCTCTCTCTCTCTCCCTCTCCCTTCCTCTCTCTCTAAAAAATCCATTTAAAATTTTCAAAAAAAAGTGAATAGCTCCCATTCACTAAAAAAAGAAAAGAAGAAGAAGAAAGAGGGAAGGAAAGAAATATACCGTTTAAATATCACATCTTCTGGAACCTTTAGGATGACCAACAGTTTTTCTTCCCCAGCCGATAATGTCAGTGTTCTAAGTTCACTGACTTCCCCATTCTTTGTAGTTGTCACTCTTACACTCCCTTTATATTTGTATACTGTTTTACAGTTTACAAGATGTTCTTACATTTATTGTCCCATTTGATTCTCACAGTAATCTTTGTAAATGAGGAGTAATTGTCAGGAGTTATACTATTTATATGAATCTGAAACACTATTTCTAGATATTTGAAATGAGATGTGAGAAGGTTGAAATTCAGTATCCATGTCAGACATAAGTTGTCTAGCTAAAGTGTTGAGGCACTTTCAAATGAAAGGGAATCTCCTTGTTGTCATGACACCCACAGCTAACACACGCCTCCGATAGCATGTGGTCACATTGAGGGTGGCGGCTCCCCAGATGCACAGACACTGCTGCCCACTCCTGCCTCAGCTCCTAATAATTACTTTTCTCTAACCAAAACACAAATGTAAATATGCAAGGTATTAAGAAAAATATGTTTTCAAACTGTGTTCTCAAATGCCTTTGAATCCTTTGACTGCTCAACAATAAACATAGACCATTACTGTTCTCAAAGCACTTTTTACACATACTATCTCATTTCATTTCTGACCACCTATGAGATACATAAAGTACCCACCTTTTACAGATAGGGAACTAGAGGCAAGAGGAGGCCCAAGGCCATGTGTTCAGGAGGTGACAGGCCCAGATCTCCAAGCAGAGTATTAAGACTTCGGGTCTGGGCCTCCTATGAAAAGGCACTAAGAGGATGATGAAAAACCAACGAGGTGTGTGTTCTGCTTAAAGTATCCTGAGCCCTGAAATTTCCAAATTATTTAAGTATATCAATTTCTAAAGTTCAGACTCCTGGGGACATGAGTTCAGAGGAGGCCAGGAAAGAAGGCTCATCACGAGCTAAATGTCACTAGCAGGAAGGCACTGATGCGTGACCCAGGTAAAGGGAGTGTCGTGATGACTAACCTCCCAGCAGTTCCTATAGACCATGCTCCTCCCTCCTTTTAATCCATCCACGTATACAGGGGTTGGCAAAGGAGGGTTACAGGTGTGAGTGCATGAAACACAGGGTTTATTCTTGTATTATTATGTATTAGTTATTGCATCATTTTCCATACAAACAACTGTAGACCTACTTTTGCCCACCCCTGTATTTATTACACACACTTCATAAAAATCCACCGTGGCGAAAGCAGTACGTTCATTACATAATCCTCGTAGGTGCAAAAAAGATAACCATCAGGATAAAAAGGTCCTAGTCTAAAGTGAAAAAGTATTATTCTTATCTGCTGCGTGGGACAGTTTCTCAGACTGAAACTTCGAACGATATTCAGAGTCCCTTCAGAACTCAGTTCCCTAAGTTCCCCCTCTGCCACTTCTTTGTCTAACACCCCGTTTCTCTCACGAGCAGGATCTTCCGCGGCAGGCTGGACCCCTGGAAGCTGAAGCCGTCCCCCGCAGCGCCAGCCTCTCCTCGTTCACCTTGCATGCCATTCCCGTGGTTTCATGACAGCCGGAAAGGATCCTATTCCTTCAGGAACCTGCCTTCACCTACAAGTCCCCTCCAGCCTTCTCCTGAAACTCTAATTTCAGATAAAAAGGGGTCCAAGGTAGAAAACACATGGATTAAAAAAAGCAAACAAGGAAACCCCAAATCTCTTCCTCCTCTTCAGTCTTTGGAAAGCATTCCAACTTGTGTGTATGCTCTGGATCCGAGAAACCAATGTGATAACCCTGCAATAAACAGTGCATGGTATTTCCTGTGTGGGGAGAGAGCAAGCCTCATTTAACCCCACCTCCTTTAATACTGTTCCATCCTAGAGTGTGCGTTAATCTTTGATTTGCCTGTCTTTTCACATATTGCTACTTAATCTCAGTTTGACAGTTAAGCCATGCTGGGAAAGATGCATTTGAATCATGGCACAGGGTGATAGAGCCGTTTACCAAGTATTCCACTTTAAATTACATTCAAAACTAGTTTTGCTGCGCTCTTCAAGATTTACTGGAGAACAAATAAATTTGGGACTGAATACATGTTCCGTACATCTAAATGAAACTTTAAGACAAACCAATGCTGCTATAGCACCCTTACCTATTTCTTCTTTTAAATCAGACTTCCATGTCGAACAGCTGTTGTAATTCTATCACGAAAGTTCTTTAACTTCAGCAGAATGAAGAATTATGTGCATGGATGCTACCTGTTTTTTTCAATGCCTGATGGTTATTTCCAGCATGACACTGCAAACCTTATCTAACATTTTATTGAAACACCTACAGTGGCTAACTTTCACATGTTGTTTGGTCTCCTTTTATCTGTGTTCACTTTTTCTTTCTCAAACAGAAACGTGTGGTTCATGTTCCTTGAATTTAGTCCTGTTCTTGTGGTCAGCAGCTCACAGGGCTTTGATGGGCTTTGGGTGGGGTTGCATTTCCACTGACAGCGTCCAGTGGTGATGTGCCGCGTTGAATGCCCTGCTGCTTAAGTGTTCTACTAGCCCGGCTCCGTGTGCGCTGATTTAATCTCCTCTCCTGAAGATTTAGCAAACCTTGGAGTTTATTGGGTACTGAATTCTCCGGCCTCTGGCATGATATTTATTCTTGACAGCTAACTAAACCCAGTACAGGAGAACCTAATGGAAAACGAACAGTCCAATTTCTAAGAAAGTGGAGGAGGAAACAAGATGGTGTCGGTCAAGTTCGTAGAGTCCCTGGGAAGCCAGTCATTCTAGAATTAGAAAAGTTCTGACAGCAGTAGACCATTTTGGCCTTGAAACATTTGCCATCTTGGGTCTGCGACATCTCAGTGTTGTTTGGATAATCCTTCCATTGTCTTACACTGGACACACTCCAGGTGTGGTTAAAATGTTTTCATTTCACAAATGCAGCTCTGCAGTCATGGTGAGCGTATTTGATTCGAACATCCACTGAACACTTGAATGACGTTCCTCACATCCCCAGGAAATTATGTGGGACTGTGTGTGTCTGGGCGTGGTGCAGCCTCTCTGGGCTCTGCTGCTGCCACGTGAGAGTTGTACCTGAGCAGGTAGCTAGTGTAGTCAGCCCGTGGCCTCCCGGGACCCGTCGTGTGGAAGGTCACATGCAGGAGGGGTTCCCACAGTATTTCCCACAGCCAGCAGCAAGCGATCCGTCCCGGGGGTGCTCCGGCCGCCTTTCTAATATGGATCGCCATCTGTTCCTGATAACTCAGGCCCTCCTCGCCACCCTGTATTTGTTACTTACACTGTCACTCATCACCATTAGGGTCAGAGAGGATGGGTTCATTAATATTACCCCCTGAGCAGCTGCAGAGGGTAATGAATGCTGTGCCCTTGAAGAGAGATTGAAGGATCATTACTCCAGACACCTATCCTCTCTCTCCATGGAGAAAGCGCACAGAGTTCTCCACCCACCGCAGAAGGTGCAGTGTCCTCAAGCTGCCCCATCGAAGGTCATCACCAACCCCAAACGAGCTGCTTCTAAGATGACTTCAAAGTCACCTTTCTAGAACTTGCAAATACACCTACCTCCGGTTCATTCGTGGTGCTCCCTTAACACTGAGCTTCATTTATTTCTACAGAATTTTACCTTCAACGATGACTTCAGTCCCAGCAGCACCAGTTCGGCAGACCTGAGCGGCCTGGGAGCAGAACCCAAAACGCCAGGGCTCTCTCAGTCCTTAGCACTGTCGTCAGACGAGGTACGCTCAGGGCACGCACACCAGAACTGCCTCCCAGTCATGCACTTCCCCGCGAGCCATCACAGGAGGAACGCGTTTAAGATGGATTTTGTTTTGTTTTGTTTTGTTTTTTTTATTCTCACCCGAGGACATTTTTCGATATTTTGTTCAGATAGAGTGAGAGGGAGAGAGAGAGAGAAACATCGACGTGAAAGTGACACATCGAGTGGTTGCCACCCACACGACCCAACCAGGGCCGGGGACAAACTGCAACCAAGGTACGTGCCCTTAGCGGGAACCGAACCCGGGTCTCTCCGGACCACAGGCCGACGTTCTAACCGCTGAGCCAAACCGGCCAGGGCTAAGATAGATTTTGTATGTAGATCGCTGGGACCGTGGTTTCCTGTTTGATAGGAAGTCGGCCTCTCCCTCTCTGTCTCAACATGAAAGCCAAGTATTGTTTCTGCGCCCCTTCAAGCTGTCCAGGGATGCCCCTTACTCTATGCTATATAATCGGCCTTTCTCTGCTTCAGATGGGATGACTCCCAGCAGAGGTGTGGGGAGGGGAGGCTGGGAGACTGAAAACAGGAAACAGATGAAGAATCACTGCTCTGGAGAAGGGGGAGATGCATTCTGATAAGGGAGGAGAACTAGGTAAGAACCACAGATTTAGAGGCCAGGGTCAAAACATCATTGCTAAGGATTCTCAGACATAAATATATACAAGAGAGGCAGGAAATTACCTTGGTGATTGACTTAGTGCCCCAAGAGATAAGTGGAGGAAAGAAATGCCAGTATGGTAGGAAGGAGGGGGAGAGGCGCTGTAACTACAGATAGTTTTGCTCTAAATATGTGTTCTTAATGATTTCTTTCTACATGTTTTTGTTTGGTAAAACGTTTTTTTCTGTTAAAATTTTTTGCCCATATTCTTCAGGCTTGGCGTGACTTTAATTGTATTAAGACTTTGTGCTGTATTGTTGTGCCTTCTGTTCCTATAACACTTTTCTCTGTGATTCCTTTCCTGCTCCCTCCCTCAGAGCCTGGATATGATAGATGACGAGGTGAGCTATCAGTGTGGTGGCTTGTTTTGGTATTGTTTGAACCTTTTCTCTCTTTGCAGATGATGGAAAACTCAAACATGAGAGCGCCTCCCTCTGTAGTGGGGGAGTTCCTTGTGCTGCCTGATTTCACTCTCTGCCCCCGTCTATGTCTCAGTTTAAAAGACACTCCTAATTCAAGAGAATCTCCAGGTCCCACCTCCAGAGTCCCTCTCTGTGTTCCCCATCACCATTCCCTGACTGACAGCTCACTCCGTTTCGCCTCCTATGCCTTCGCCTCTGTTTACCCATCCCCTCTCCTGTTTTCTCCCTGTCACCGAGGGGACTTCTGTCTCCTCCAGACCCATCATCGCCTCATCTCCTCTCAGCTTAGTGGTTCCAGGAACCAGCCTGCCCTTTGCACTATTAAAAGTAATATGCTAGATTGGACAGGTCTGTAGACTTTCAGAGCCTCAGTTTCCTCATTAATTAAAAGTAATTATGGATGCTTCCTGCCCCACGGTACTTACAGGTCTGCTTGCTGCCCAAATGAAGTAATGGCCGGGCCATTTCCCCCCACAGAGCCTGAGGGCTCGGTGCTCTCCTCCTCTGAGTGATTTTACATATGTCTAATGTCTTGCTGGAGGATGAATGCAGAGTGATACATCGTGTCTAGGGATTAATGAAATATCTGCTTTCTGCATCTGATCATCTTTCCAAAGTATTTTAATATAAAAGCTTGCAACATCACAGTGTAGTTTTCAATATTAAACTTCCTACATTGGAAGTGCTGTCTTATTTGGGGAAGTTTTTAAATTTCCAAGCATCTAAAAACATGTAGGTAATGACTATATGTATGTGCATTACATACATAACTAGAAGCATCAGCTTATCATTTTATGGTTTAAAAATAAATATGGCTCGAGTAGGCAAGCAATCCTCCGGTAGCGTGATGTCCATGCTGAGCCGTGGCCTTCAGCCCTGTAACCGCATCACTTCCCACCTCAGATCCTGGATGACGGGCAGTCTCCCAAGCACAGTCAGTGTCAGAACCGGGCCGTGCAGGAGTGGAGTGTGCAGCAGGTCTCTCACTGGCTCATGAGCCTAAATCTGGAGCAGTATGTATCTGAGTTCAGTGCCCAGAACGTCACTGGAGAGCAGCTCCTGCAGCTGGATGGAAATAAACTGAAGGTAAAGAAGCATATATGTCTGCGTTAGGTTACCGCGTATTCTTTGTACACTCGTAGCACCTCAGATGTTCGCATGAGAGAAGCACATTCTGCCCCGGGGAGAGGTAGTTCTCATCCGCTCTCAGCAGAGAAGACGTTGGATTATTTCTGAGTCGGAAACGAAGCTTCCGGAAGTCATCGGGTTCTAAAGAGTAGGACAGCTAGGGACTCACTCCATCGCTTCCGCCTGGTGACACATGGCTCATGCATCCACTCCACTTGCTCTCTGCAGTATGAGTTTTAGCAAGTCCCAGTGTGGACTCTTTCATCACGTAAGAGTTCAAACCCAAGTCCATGAACCCTCCCTTCTTGACTCATTGCCCCTCCACCTCCACATGTTCCTGCACACCACACCAAAACCGGGACGATGTTTTCCCCAAATATATGCAGAGCATGCCTTCCCTCCCCCACATCACACTGTCATGTTCACCTGTCCAGCCCATCTCTTCGTAGAGGCTGAGGTGGCACCCATCCCCGTGGAGAAAGGGCAACGGGAGCTTACAGCAGCTGTCCACCCCCAACCCCGCCGGGCGGGTGGGCAGATGAGTATCCCTTGACAATCTTGAAAAGGTTAGAAATCAATCAATAGCCTGTGAATATGAAGACCCCATGGACAAGGCTGTCTCTGTTGGGGAGATGGATGCGTCCTGCTGTTGATTCTGAAGGTCATGAAACGTTTAAAGTACTACAAAACCAACACCCCCCCCCCAACCCCCACTCCCGTTATTCTGAATTCCAAGCTGATCGAGCAACCTTCTCATTATAATCAGGCTTCCTTTATAGGGCTGCCTACAGGGGAGAATGGCTAGTCATGCCGACCTGAGCATTCTGGTGCCAGAGACACTTCCGGTCCACACTGTGCACAAATGCACTGGCCAATGGAGGCTGTGTGGGTTCGTCCTGCCCTCCTCGAGCCCCTGAGGAGCAGGGGCCCGCGCCTGTCCTTTGCCTGTAAATGTCTGCAACCTGGAGGTTGGGGAAGCAGAACTGTGCCTTTTTCACTCATTTACCCATTGATTACCACTCTGGAAAGCGTGCGGTTTAGGGTGTACTGTGCTAGAGACTTCAAAGAACAAAAGGACAGATAAAGCTCAGTCCCCCAGTATGTATGTTTTTGGCAAATGTCATCAGCTGTCCCTCAGTTTTTACCTCTTCAGTTACGTTTGAGTTAGTTTTTGAGTTTGAACAGACTGTGATACCGACCTCATCATAGGTAGGGAGGTCACTGATTTTCAAATTCGGTTTGTTTATATTTCCTTCGTAGGCTCTTGGAATGACATCATCGCAGGACCGAGCAGTGGTCAAAAAAAAACTCAAGGAAATGAAGGTGTCTCTGGAGAAGGCTCGGAAGGCTCAAGAGAAAATGGAGAAACAAAGAGAAAAGCTGAGGAGGAAGGAGCAAGAGCAAATGCAGAGGAAATCGAGAAAGACAGAAAAGATGACGGCCACAGAGGGCGCTGGTGAGCAGTAACCATCCTCCTGGAGGCGGGATGCCCCCCGCAGCGCCTGCCTCTGCCTGCCCTGCTTGCCTGGAGGGATGGCGAAGAAACTGATGACAGGGGTACTGAGCTGTAGGCAGGCTGGGGAGCCTTGTGCCGGATAACCGCATTTTCTGCGATAATCGAACACCCTTCATTTTAACCTACTGAAACAATCCCAAGCCACCTTTAGTTTATTAACAAACCAAGGAGCTCATTTGTGAGAGAGGCAAAGCAGCTATGTTTCTGTTTTCTCTTACTTACCAGCATCTTGTGCTGTGTTGGGTGGGTGTGTGTGTCACTTGGAAAACCAGCATGACAATGCCCTCCAAGAGCATGACCCACATGGTGTTGTTAATGGAGTGCCATGAATTTTCAGCATGGGGTCCTGCCCCTGGGCATTTGCACATATCTGCATGGCTGAGAGCACCACTCTGCCATGAGACCAGGGCTGCAGGATCCACTCCAGTGTGTGAAAGTTCCCCCTCATCTCTGGGTCTGGACAGTGAGACGACCCCACTGTGGAAACATGGATGCCCTGCCCCGTGATTACCTCCTGCGGCAGAAGGCAAGCATGCAGTTCCGCTTGCTGGCATCTGAAAGAGAGGAAGGAATTCAGTTATTAACCCCAGAAGGAAGCAAAAGCCTTAAGAATGTAGATGAGGGTATTACCTTGGGATTTGAGGATAACATTTATCCTCCAGATTTAGCCGAACAGAGGAAAAATCAGATGTTAATACAGCCATGGGATATTGGGATCTGTTGTTAACTTTGCTACTGCTGTGTTTCAGCATTTCAGCAACACTGACACACACCACACAGTTCCTTTCCCCCAACAAATGGAACAGGAAATTGATTTTTAAGGAAACCAACATTTCAGGTTTCCTCTCCCGGGGAACATTCTGGCTAGTCTTCAGCTTGACTATGACACAGTCAGGAACTCGCCACATATTTTCTTTTGAGATTTCCCAAGTGAACTCGGTTAGTGTTTTTAACAAATGTACTTTTAAGAAAAATAGAAATGCCAGTTCGAGAAAATTTAGATTTGAGTAACATTCAACCAGAGAAGCAATTTTATTGCGCACACAGAATGTTCCCATAAAGGAGAGCTGTCGGTTATGTTCGGAGATGCTCTGAATGGCTTTCCTGGGCCGTTCGCTTCCATTCTTCAGGGATTCCACTTTACAGTTCAAGTTTGTTTAAGGTGGTACACAGCATCCAGTCGAGCAGGGTGGCCAGTTACGGTATTTTAGAGCCAGTATTAAGGATGTCAGCTCTCATGAAACTAACTCAAGTGCCAGAGACTAGGACAGAGGAGGAGAAAATAAATTCATCTTGAGAAATTTCAAAGGATGGATCAGTTTTTGGTGGTGGTGGTGGTGATTTGCTTTTTATGTTTATGTATCTGGTTCTCTTTGCTACATTGGCTCTAAAAGTAGGGTCATCTCCTTTCCAAGGGATGGGTTCCAGAGCAAGAGTTGAGGGCAGACAAATTTTTGGACAAGTATTTTACTTCCTTTACTATGTGGAGAGTCTGTCCACATCTTCCACCGGAAATGTTGCATATGCAGACCTTGGGGCGGAGGCTTTGGAGGGTACAGGCAACAGATAATGTCAAGGGGCTCTCGCCTTTACAGCTCCATCTCGTATTTTGAACATTGTGATTTTATTTATTTTTATTTTTTTGCTTGTCTGAATATCCGAAATCTGGAATCATGTAAACTAGAAATTCATAATTCTGAGGGCCTGATTCCTTTTTAGTGACAGAGTAGTATGGTTGACGTCAGTGTTTCATCACTGGGTACGGATCATTCTTTGTGTTTTACAATGATCAAAGCCACTGTATGTTTTTTCTGTCTATTTTCATTTTGGGGTATGATAATGAAACCGCCATACTGGATACTCTCTTAGTATTTTGAGAGGTGTGGTGCTTTGCTATTTATTAATACCATGGGAAACGAGGAACCACTATTAATGAACTGCAAAATCCAGCAAACCTTTTCTAATACTAAAAGACTTAGTCCAAATCTGGTAATACTAGGGCTTGCTATTGTAAATGCCACTTTTTGCTTACCTTTGAAGAAGTGATCTGGGTCATACTGGAAGTTTCACTTTAAGAATTCATTTTTAGAATGGAAATAGCAGGATGATTATCTTAAGTTATGTTTACACTTTGGTCCTGTTTGAAAAATGGTTGTATAAACTGGAAATGTCTGTAAGTCTCAGTCTCTGCACATAATTTATGATCTATTGTGTTGCATTTTCTTAAATGTTTTAGAATATTGTTCTTTGTTTCCCGTTTATTTGTATACTTCCAATGTTTAGATGAATGACTGACAATATTATTCATCAAAAATTTTAATTCAAATCATTTAGTTTGTGTTATAACCATTTTGATTTCTTAATTTAAATGATAGTAATTTTCACTTAATGAGTTATTTTTAACATTACTACTTAAAACTGCTGAAATGTTAAGAGGCACTTGATTTGATTGTCCAACAAAGGGTAAAATGTGAACTGACTGATGAAAGGGTCTGAAAACAGAGTGAAAGACCTCAGAACCTGTGAGCATTCTGTTTCCCTGCTATCTGTTTATCACCTCCAGTGCATGATGCCTAATCGAGGCCCCGGTGTCCTACACAGTTCCTACTCGAATGCCAGTGGTCTTCAGTGTCCACGCAATTTAACATAGAAGTGTTGCTTCATGACCCTTACAGGCTTGGCAGTTTTTTTCTTTATCAGAAAATGAACAGAAAGGGAATATCTATATATTGATACTATGAACTATGTATTTCCCAAATGACAGTTCTGTGCAACTCTGACAATAGCCAAAAGCATTGCAGGGTACAGGTGATGCTTTGGGGGCAGGGGATGAATGGTGAGGCCAAGCTGTGGACTGAGAGCATTATGTGAGCTTAGTGTCCGGGTCAGGGTTTTCCACTGAAGGGCTTTAGTTTTGTAACAGAGACTTTAAGACCCTCTCTTTTAAAGTAACTCACAGTTTATGTAATAGTTCGTGTGTTCCCCCCCCCCCCCCCCGAATCAGAAGGTAACTTCAGAATGATACGTTAGGGCAGAAACCTAATTTTGCCCATTCTAACAGACTAATGAAGTCCACCTCTAGTTTTATGATGACAAAACTACTCTACACCATCTTTCTTTAGCTGGAGTTGATGAATTTCCCACCTGCATCATCACATAAGCATTTTAACCCAGTGCTAACTCCAAACTCAGTTTTTAAGAGGCACGAAATGGGAACACCTACCTGGTGCACCTTTGGTGGCGTTGGGAACAAGGTGGCAGGAAGATGAGTGGGGACCCAGTTGACCCTTGCCCGCTGCCTTTTATCCCACTTATCTCGGCCTGAAATCGTAAGCTCTCCCAGTCCCAAGCTACAAAAACAGGCACAGGTTGTTGGACCTTAATTAGCCTTCATGGATTTTGCTAAAGACAAAGAACTCTCAATCAGATTACTTGCGTAATTGGATTAACCTGTGGTTTAGAATGAGATTTTAAAAAGCAAATGAAAATTTTCATTTATTTGGATATTCTAACTCCTTTATAAGTGTTAAAGGTTATGTAGACCAAGCCTCAAGAGAGAAAACCACATGTTTAACCATAGTATTCATGAAGATTGTAAAGGGGCATGTCCTAACCATTCTAAAGAAATAGCTACACGCTGAATGTGTTGTAGCCCCCCTCATCACATTGAGATATTTAAGAATTACCAGATTCCATCTGAGTAAGTAAATTCACTGTCCCAAGAGAGCTGTAGATGGAGGCATGTCACTCTGACAGGCAGCAGTCACTGGGGTTCATTTCACCTACTTAATGCTAAGTCCTGAATGCTTTCTTAATTTTCTAATTGACTTTTGCTCAAGGATCTACCTGGACACTATTCTGAAGCTAGGCCTTTAAGGATGAGGTGCAGAAATAAAATGTCTATAGTTTCTCCTAGAATTGTTTTCATTATGCTGATGGGGTGGAAAGTAAATTGCTAGAGAAAGCAGCGTAGGAAGACATGAATGTGGTTGCTGGTGTTCACGCCTAAAAAGCAACCATGGTCTGCAGGCAGATTTTATTTATATTTGTCTTAGTTATTTAAAGTCTCAGGAAGTTTCATCTTGGTCCAAAACACTGAGGGGGAAAATGACACCAGACAGTACGCCAGTAGTATGTGCATAACTTAGAGCAGTCATATGGAATAGACCCAACCAAGAAGTCAGGGCGAAGGCAGGCCTAGGAGTCAGTGTTCCCCAGGAAATGAAAGCGCCAAGTTCTCCCTGCTGGTGAACAGAGGACCCTTACAGGCCTGCACTTGGGTGTGTGTGTGGATGTGTTGAGGGCATGGTTGCTACTTGAACGCTCATATCGTAAGTGTGTGGACCAAGTACAGCACATGACCGGCTTCCAAATCCACAGCTTAGGGAAGAAAAAAAACATGATAGTTTCCCATCCTTGGCCTGACCCCAGTCCCAACCCCCAAACTGCAACGATTCAAAAGGGAATAAGAGGCAAGGGATAAGAGAACAAGAAGCAACTTCTCTATAATGTGCATGCCACTTGTGTAGATATACAAACTACATATGTGTGACTATATCTCCCACCTTACACACACATACCGCAATGACATTGCATTCAAAACATAGATATTGTATTTGGAACTTGGTGTCGTCAGCTAGGACCCAGCGGTAATCATAGCCTTATTGCCACTTTTTGTGTTGTGTATACATTGAACGGCTCATAAGATGTTAAGAGATTTCTTTTTAAATGTATTTCTTCTGCTAAATGCACTTACCCTTCTACATGTCTATATATTTTGGTAAAATTGATTTATTAGAAACTTGGTATTTTAGTAAGATAAAGTGTCCTCACATGTGTGGTTGATGCTCTGATGTCGAGATTGCACATCGCTGAGTCGAAACTCAGAAGTTTCTGCAGCTCAGGCATTTCCAACTGCGGACTGCAGTTTCCTTGGCTACAAGTTGCACGGCGTGTTCTTGTTCATTTTCTCATGCTCTAACATGACCTGCTTGGTAGCTGTGATGCGTAAGTCACTAACTACTGGCTCTGATGGTGGCGTTGCCATCACATGACCATTTCCCCCTTTTGCCGAGTGATGGCCTGGTGAGGTCATTGCCAAATGGACGTGTGAGGGTGTTGTTGGAAGGTGTACACTTCTGGTTCTCCCAGCTAGATCATGTATACACCCAAGTTTTCTGTTATGGATTTACTCTTTCATCTGTGAAAGAATGATTGGCCAAAGATAATTAAATTACCTTTAGAAAGTAGGAATTAAGAGGCACTCCGGCTAGCTAACACCTCCCAACAACATCAGACCTACATAGTGCTTAGTGAAATCCCTTAAATATTTATGTGTATGTTTTTCTTAATATTATTTATGGTCATCACTACTGCTTTTGTATTTTTTTAATGGTGTTACAATGAAACACAAGTACACGTGCTGCGTAAGACTAACACACGGCCGGCTGGAAAACGAAAGAAGAGAGGAAAGGAATTCCGTTCCATTGTAAGAAGTTGATTTATTTCGATCTTTCTTCATATAAAGGAAAAAGAGTGGTTTGAAAGTCATTTTAAGTGCAGTAATTCTGGAGAGCATGTTCTCTGAAACTTGATTTGTACATTTTGGTGTCCGGTCATTTGCATGGAAGAGACAATAGTGCCACGTCTGAATTGGTCTCTGTGCTTGGTTACTATGTATTTCTCTTGACTGTTCTCTTTCCGACATTTCTTACTCTTTGGTTTTCAGAGGCATTTGAAGCAAAACATCCTTTGTTTTCTGACCAATCTAAAAATATGCGTGATTACATTTAATTTGTTAGTGTAAATACATTTCTTGCCAATGAGTATTATTGTTGTTAGACAACGAATGCAATAAAAAAGAGAAATACTGAGATCTGTCGAAGTCATTTTTTTTCTCTCTTCCATTTTCACCTTCAACTAAAACAAGCCTTGACTGTGTAAACCTGGATTAACTGTCAAAGTACATCTGTCAGTCAAGAGCAAAGTGCACATTTTCCATGGAAATGAAACTAAAAATAAGTTTAGCCCTGGTGAAGTGTAAATTGGCAGTTGGAATTACATTTAAAAGCACAGTTATGGAACGGGGCCTCAAGTTCAAGATCAGAGCCTCCTCTGGAAGCTCCCTCACCCGGCTTCCCGTTTCCACTGTGGCTCCAGCATCGTAGTTTCTGAAACCTGTCAGCCAGGGACAGGCAGGTGGCAAATCCTCGAGCAGTTGACCTCACAGTCACACAGTGTGGTGGTGCAAGCTAAGAATCAGACCATCCCAGAGTAGGGGGTTTCTTTCAACAGCTTTATTTCTAAAACTTTATATTGTGAGAAGACTTGAATATATCAAATGAGGGGTGTTAATTTCTCTCTCTCTTTCTGTCTCTCTCTCTCTCTCTCTCTCTCACACACACACACACACACACACACACCATAATTTGTGAGTAAACCTTCAGCAATGCAAAAAAAATTAGATCAAAGCCTCAGAATAATTGAATTAAGCTGTTTTTCCTTGGAGTGTGTTATGATCTTGGGCATAAGCTATGTCAAGTCGGATAGCTTTCTCTTTCTTGGGGTGGGGGTGAAGAATTTGCTTATTTTGTTAAAAACAAGAGAGAACAGGATGTGGTCCTCTTATTGAAGATACCAAGTGATTCTCTTTAAAGAAAATATGTAGCTTTTGTCAACCTAAGCACCACATTTTGATCATATCGATCGCTTCCAAACCAAATTTCAGTGACCCCAGCTCCGAGGGCGGTGAAGGGCGTCTCTGAAGAATGGCACTTACGGGGCCCATGACTTCATACCCACTGACGCTGGGGCTCAAAGTAACTCTCATCCTGATAGGAGGAAAGTTTTTCAATCCGAACAAAATAGCCCTGTTTATTACTTTAAATCAGTGGTCTTAAACTATTAGCAGTTCTCAATGTATCAGCAAAACACTTCTCTCCAAAGGCCAGGCCATCATTATGGCAAATGCCTCAGAGAAACGTGGTTTCCGACACGACTGCCTTCACGTCCCAGAGAAGGGATTCAGCCCGAGAGCTGCGCCTTCAGAACAGACAGATCCACGAGGAGAGGTAACCTTTTGTATGGCTTTTATGAAAAAATAACAGTCATCTTTTCTGAGTCTTGTCCCTCAGAAGATAGCCACAGGTTGTTGATCATTCCTCTCTTGTTTGTTTACTTTTCTGTTGTCTTCTTCTCAGCCTCCACAGCAGGTTAGACTAGAAGAAGAACAAGCCTACCTCAGCGACAGTGTAGCCCCGGGGGGCAAGTATCTTTACCCAAGTCGGTTACGGGCTTCATTCTGTATCCAGTCACTGATGTGAACAGACTTCTGCCTTTTACCAGGTCCAAGAAATAAAATGTATGATGTGTGTTGAGATAACAGACACCCATATCATTTTCTTTTTTCTTAAAAAAATTTTTTTTTCCTTCATTGATTTCAGAAAGAGAGGAAGTGAGAAGGAGAGATAGAAACTGATGGAAGAGAACATCGATTGGCCGCCTCCTGCATGCCTCCCCACTGGGGATCTGGCCCACAACCTGGGCACGTGTCCTGACCAGGAATCAAACTGGTGACCTCTTGGTGCATGGGTCGACGCTCAACCACTGAGCCACACCAGCCAGATGACACTCATATAATTTTCTAGTGTGGCAACATTCCCAAGAATTTTAAGCTGTTCTTGCATGCCATTTGCTAGAGGAGAATTAAATAAACAGGAGTAAAAAGAGAGTTGGGGTATCCGAGTTTATGTTTACTGAGAAAGTCATACGTACAGGGGAAAACGTAAGTCTGACTCTGCAGTATGTCTAATGGCTTTGCTTAAGGAGAAGAGCCTGGAGTTGGGTAGTTTTCAGTGTGCATCCAGACTTCCGGCATGTGCACTGGAGGGCCTGGTGGGAACTGGACTTCTGATGACCCGAGAGGCCATCCTGCTCTCCCGTCTTCTGATCAAGGCCCAGCAAGGCAGCAATAAGCTCATGTGCACTCAGGGAACACGTCTTAGAGGAAAGTGCCTTTTGGGTCACATACAGTTACATGATTTAATAACTGACAACAAACGTGATGATTTTAGCCATTTTATTGTAAAGGATTTCTCCTGGTAAATGAGGTTTTCGAGTACTGTGTACCAAGATTGATTTGATATTGTACTCTCAAAAAGCTTTATACGTCGTATCTATTCTCAGTTAAACAGCACTTTCATCCCTAATGATGTCCCAATTTAGGGTCATTGTTCGATGAGATCACTGGTCCCTTTGAGCTCATAGTCTGCATGGCATGGGTGCAAACTGGCCTGTTAGAGCTTGCAGTAAAGAGCTTTTTGGAATACAGTGCCAATCAGCAATTTCCCCTTGTACACAGAGGCAACTGAACTTCCTTGCAGCACTGTACCATTTTCTGCAAAAACCACTGTGACTTTGGGTTCTTCTGTTAAAATGTCCTGGATTTGAATCACCTAGCAAAGAAATAACAGTCGGTTAATTTTTTTAAGTCACTTAGAACATAACTTTAAACACGGAGTCATTTCTCCAGAAGAAGAAACCTTTAGGTAAATCATATTTTGTTCCAAAATTACTTATAAGACACCTGTTTCCTCATGGGCAAAATGACAGGTTCTGATCAGATGATCTTACACAGAGGTAGCAACACAGGCCTACAGGGGCGAGGTAAGAAATATAAATAAGTAGCACAGATTGGGTGTGAGACATTAGGGAGTAGTAGTGACTGTGGTAAATTGGTCGGGGTGGGGGGGCTATTAGTAATAGTCAAATAATTGCCATGCTGGCATTCAGGAAGGTTTTTGTGTATTTTCAGATAAACTAGGAATTTGGATGTTTACACTTAATTCTTTTTAAATGCTGGCAATCAAAAAATAAAACTATGCCCCCCCCCAAAAAACATATCTCTGCATCACACTTATCCATTCCTCTGAACTTAAGGTCCCACCCCTCAGCAAGATTTTGTAAGTTCGGTTTCCTTTCTTTAGTTGGGCAGAAATATGATTGTATCATTAGCAACTATGTAGTAGTATGTTAGGCTGACTATATGGAATAGCCAACATTTGACCATTTTGACTGATAAATGGCCATTTCACACGATTCCCCCTCGTCTGAGGAACACACTGCAAGTCTGGAGCCTGGGCCATGCTCTGGATCTTCTGTCACCATTGATTTCTCATCTGTACAGTGAGATGCGTAGGACTACGTTAAGTTCCATTTCAACTCGAACTTTCTATTCTTAAGCTTTTAGGATAAAATACAATGACTCGAAGAGAGGATACCTACGTGTAAAAACACCAGATATGGCCGACCAGGAAGGCCCGAGCCTGGATAGTAAACGGTCCATGGAGCATTTAAAAGGACCTCTTTCAAGCAACTGGCACCAAAGACAGATGTTTTAGAAAATTGCTGTAGTGTTCAGTGTGGCAGTTACTGCGAAATGGTTGATGGTGCACCTTGGCTTAAGAAATTAAGCCTCTTTTAATAAAACAAAATTACTCGTCTATAGGGCAGTACATTTGATAATGGACTGTAACTACGGTTTGCTCTGCTTTAACAGAGCCATCACGAGAAAGGAAGTGTTTTCTCTACAACAGCAAACCTGGTCCATGCTTTAATGAATGACCCACATTCACCAAGTGGGCTAAGAAGCAAGAACAAATTAGAATCTAACATTCTGCTTAGTTCGGGCAACCACACCACAGCACACATTTCTTCAGGTCTGTTAAACATACCTGTACAGTATCCTACTAGCTAAGAACAAGCAAAAGGCACAGAGGGTTGTCGTTCAACATACCCACAGTTGTCCTGTAAACCTACACATAAAAGGTATGAAGGGCCATAATGTGATTGAAAAAATACACATTGGGTTGTGTGTGTGTTTTTCAATCCAAGACACACAGGCTATCAAAAAAATACTTTTGTTGGGGGATGGTATGAAACTGACTCTTAAAACTAAGCTTTCAGAAGAATACCTAGCGGTAGACTATATCAAACATGATTACTGTGTGTTTGATGTAAATAACAAGTATAATTAGTACATACTGAAAACTCAATAGCAAACCCCAGGTAAGTCATAATGAACAGTTAAATGCCTGTTGCAAAGTGAATTTCAAGTCCTTACTTGCACTGACAAAATAGTCCACTGAGTAAAGACCATGGACACGAATAGGGTCTTTGGGTGGTAATAGTTAAAATGGAAGAAAAAGTCTCTTTATCCAAAATAGTTCCAGCAAGAGATTTGTCTTCCCATCTCAGAGGGAGTGAGCGGTTGCCCAGTTGTGCTTTCGGACTGGCCCACCGCGTTAACGTGGGCACATGCTGACGCACAGGAAGGGGGCTTGAATAGGAAGGCAGGTAACACATGATGAGGCCGTAGCAATGTGGAACATTCTATTTTTTAAACCATTGTGAATTCCCAAGTTGGAGAAACTCACTGTTAAAATAAAGATATGGACCCCAGTTCAGTGCTGGCTATTCTAACCCAGCCTCCAGGTCCACTCTTCACTCTGCTCGGATGTACAAAAACTGACGTGGAGGGCTCCCTTGCCCTCCAGCTCCCGGTTAGGATCGACCAATGGGCAGAGCAGCAGGGGATGGGAGGTCTGAGGAGGAGGCGGGATACTTGTTCCCCAGGCTTCCTCCCTGTGCTGGTTGGCTACATCCCTCGCCCAGAGGCCAGGTTCCGCTCAGAAGACCTTCTGCACATCCAGCTCTCTCCTTGTCTGGCTGTCCTGCCCCCTTGCTAGCCCTGGGGTACTGCCTTACCCCTGTCATTTCCCCGCACCCTGCCCACAACTGTGTACATGCCGTCTTATTCAATCCCTTCAAACTACCCAGTTTATATGTACCATCTGTCTCCTGCCTAGTTTCTAAAATGCGTCCCCAAATCAAGTTCCTGTTTCTAGCTCATCATTTGGAACATCTATCCATGCCTCCCACCCCTTTATTTGCCTATATAATTGAGAATCATGTTTTCAACTGGAAAACATCTGGAAATGCAGTTGCTGATCTGATCGATTTTATAAACTAACCTCTGATCCAGGTGGATTCTTCTCATCGTAGAAGAAGATTCTCATGCCATTGGGATGGCATCCAATCCACAGGTCCCCTGTCACGGGATCCACGGATATGTTATCCACAAGTGTGTTAAGGGTCAAGCACTTCCAGATTAAAAACAAGGAGAGAACAAAAGACAGAAGTGAAAAAATAAGAACATAGAAAACAGCTATCTTTTCCTTGGTTACTACGCTCCTGGTTCCAGGGACCCAACAATTCTGCCCATTTCAGTAGCACTCAGGGAATTCCATGTATGCTCATATGTGATCAGTTTCTGGCACAGATGAGGGAACAGGAAATACAAAAAGCCAAAGAGACTATTTAAAGTTAGATAAATCATTTGGACTAATATCTGTGTGTGACCCTAAAACCGAAAGAAAAAATGTTTTAAGTGCAGCATAAGACACTTCATTTCTAAAACAGCATGCACAAGTGATATTTTTATAAGCGTTCAGAAAACAACCAGAAAATGTAGATTTCTTTCTGATGAGAACATCAATGAAATGTAGGCTCTTCTTCAGTGGCTAATCATAGGCTGTGAAGCTAGAGGACAAATGATCACCTGGAGTCTAATTTTTGCCTTGGAGTTGAGAAGAAGTTTCTTCTTTAGTTCCTGATGTTATTCAACTCCCTGTTCTCCTGCTGTTTATTTTCTAAATATAAGTTGCAAGCATGTGATGACTGCACAGATTGCTGTCGGGACTTTGGACCAGGATCATAAATAATACCAATGATTCTTAATTCCGCCATTCGTCATCTTGGCTGCCTTCTACGGGGAAGAAATCACATCTATTTGTTTACCTCTCACTCTCAGTTGGAGAAGCAATATCTACCGTGTACTTCAACAGAGGCCAGCCTACCTCAGCGCCCAGAGATGCTGTGATAACTGGTGGTGATGCCTTGCAAAGGCCAGAGTGTGGGCAGGCATCTGCAGGGAGCCCATGCACCCTGTGCTCCCTGCTCAAAATGAGAGCCATCCCCACCTATCCTTTAAGGGACTAGAGGGCTCAAGCACTGTGGCAGTGTCTCCATTACAGCTTCATGCAAAGACATCGCTCATTCATACCCTGGAAACAGGCAAGGCTGGCCAGAGGAGGAGGCCAAGCAAGCATGCTCTGGGCAAAGTCAGCCTCAGGCCTTCTCCACTGACCAAGCCCCCATCTATCACAGTGTCAGACATTCTCCTCTGATAAGTTAACTTAAGTGAGGGAAATGTTTGTCTCAGGGCACAGCTATTACCTTTGGAAGGGGTAATAGCTAATTGGTGAATTCCATGGCAGATAAAAGCCTGTAAAATTGGGAATTGGGATGAGAGTGGGAGGACGGCATAGAGGCCAGGGGTCCCATTTATTCAACACACAGCTCCTGAGGTCCTACCACGTGCTCTGCAAGGAGTTCAGCACCAGAGAGAACAGAGGGAGCGCAGACCTGGTTCTTGCAAAGAAAATGCTGATGGTTGGTCCAGCAGGGAGCCTGTGCTGGGCTCCTGCCTTGCAAACCTGTAATCTCTAGCAATACTAACTCAGCACAGTGCACACATACACTTCACACCTCTCCAAAGCCAACTGGAAATGTTTACTTTCCTTGGTCACGGAAACTTAATAACTTATTCTTATGGGGAAAAATAGTATACCAAATATCCCAATTTTTAGAGAATTGCAACTCATTGGAGTGGGATTAATTCACTGGCTGTCTTGAATATTTACTTTTATTGTGGTAGATATGCATACCATGAAATTTGTCATTTTAACCATTTTTAAGTATACAACTCAGTAGCATTAGGTACATTCACAATGTTTTATAAACATCACCGCTATCCATTTCCGGAGCCTTCCATCCCAAACAGAAACTGCCCAATAGCTTCCCATTCCTCCCGCCCCCGGCCCCTGGCAACCTCTATTCCTCTTTCTATCTGTGAATTTGCCTAATCTAGGTACCTCATACAAGTGGGATCCTGTGGTGTTTTTATTTTTGTGTCTAACTCATTTTACTTAGCGTAATATCTTCAAGGCCCATCCATATTGTCACATATATTAGTACTTCATTACTTCTTAAGACTGAATAATATTTCATTGTATGTATATACCACACTTTGACAGAACATAAACCCACCCACATGTCATTGAAAATTCTAAGATCTGTCTCAGCTACTTTATCAAATTTCTTGGCACTCCAGGTACTCATTAACTGGCTTAATTAGTATGATCCTTCAAAAGGAAGAATTTCAGGCATGAGGGTAGTCTGGGCTGTCATGTCAGGAGACGGGCACGCTCTGTTGCCAGATGTGAAAGCTAAACTAGAGCCCAGTCCTCAATCTTGCCTTGGCGGGTGCCGCACCTTTATCATTGTGCGTTGAATGTATATTGAAGTGGGTTCTATTCTTAGCAAATTCTTTAACTTTCAATTTACAGAAGTACGGATTGCTATAACCCGTTTGTTCTTATTCCCTTGGCCAGTATGCGTGTGTGAAATTTCATTTTATTTCAGGTAATACAAAAGTAGCCCGGCGAATGACTTTTAACGTCAAACACAATGTTACATTTGCTGTTGCTTCAAGGTAATTTTCTGGGAGTGAAACCTCTCATGACAGTTCCTGGGATATGCTGATGGAACTGTCACCGTGGCGATAGCAGCGCTTCATGCTGTGGGCGGTTAGGGGCAGATCCTGTTTCTCAGGGGCAGGGGATCCGGTCACGATGTTCCACTTTGCTCTTCCTCTCTCTTTCCTCATTCCATGTTTTTACCTCTTTGGACCCAAATCTTCAAAATGGATCAGAATTGGGTAGAGGATGAACCCTTGATACACACCAGCCCCATCATACTAATTTAACGGGTATTTGTTGAATGCCTACTACTAGGTGGGAACTCTTCTGGGAACAACTGGAAAAAATAAAACCTGTCATTGTGGAGCTAACACCCTAGAGGGAGAGGCAGCTGACAGAGGGGATAAGTAAAATGTAGTATGTTAGCAATGAGTCCTGGAGGGGAAATAAAGTAAAGGAGATAGGAAATGTGCGTGCGTGCGTGTGCGTGCGCATGTGCGTGTGTATGTGTGTGTGTGTGTGTGTGCGCGCGCGCGTGCGCGCTCATGTGCGTGCATGTGTGCGCATATGCGTGTGTGTGCGTGCGTGCATGTGCGTGCGTGCATGTGCGTGTGTGCGCATGTGCGTGTGTGTGCGTGCATGCGCGTGTGCGTGTGTGTGCGTGTGTGCGAGGGGAGCAGAGTGGCAAGCGCAGCTTAGGGAGCCGGGGACGCGTCACTGAGGGACAGTTTAGTAAAATCTGGAAGGAGATGAGGGAGAGAACCTCGGAGACCCGGAGGAAGACGGCGTGAGCCGAGGGAACGGCGGGTCCCGAGGCAGGGCCTGCCAGGCCAGCTCCGGGAGTATGCGGGCAGGAGCAGCTGGGCCGACCAGGTTGGAGGTAAAGGCAGCAAGGTCCTGGGCCGCTGGGCACGCGGCGGCCATGACTAGTACTTGGGCGTTATAAACCAATGGAGAGCTCTGTTTCTTGACTATTCCATCAGCGCGGGGTGGGGGGGTGGGGTAAGAAAGGAGAGGAAGAGGAGGGAGAAAGAGAGAGAAGAAAGGAAGGGAGGGAGGGAGCAAGAGAGGGAGGGAGGGGAAGAGAGGAAGGAAGGAGGGAAAGAGGGAGGAAGGAAGGAAGGACAGATGGAAAGGAAGGAGGAAGGAAAGGAGGGAGGGAGATAGGTCTAGGAACTCAGTGCCAAGATTCAAATTCACTAGAGTAGAAAGAGTCAGCGTTTCACAGGTGAGCTGTGTGGTGGCTGCTTCCCACTCCACAGCCGAGTAAAAGTGAACAACAAATACGTAAGATGCTGATGTCTCTTAATAAAGGAGTAAAAAGTTGCCTCTCACCCATTCCAATTAGACAGTCCTTTTCCCCTCACTTTTAATTTCACAAATTAATTAGAATCTAATTATCACTCTGCAAACTTACAGTGTTAATACAGCTTACCTTCAATGACGTTAACGTCCCAGTAGCATGCTTTTCATACACGTGAATCTTATGAGCCAGAAGTTCAGAGACATAGACATACCTTCAAAGAAGAAAGAGCTCCATCAAAGCACTTGAAGTGATGTGATTCAAAAGCTGATGATGAAGTTGTAATAACTCTTCCTTAAGAAGAACTTTGCTTAGAGACTGGAAAAGGGAACCCCTCTCAAAGCACACCAAACTCTGAAAGAACTCATGAGTTTACAGTACACACCGGGGTATTAAGCCTGTAAAGTTATTTGTAAGGGTAGAAACCTAGTTGCCCCTGATCAGTAGGAAAGGAATTTAGCCCTAAACACCAGCTTTGATACCTGGGAGATAAAGCATTGCAATGCTTCTCTTAGTTTGTCGACACAGTGGGGAAACCCAGGTTCTGCCAGTCAGAATAGTGGGTTCTCTTGAACAGGCTGCAGGAAGGCCCTTGACAATTAGCCAGTTGTTTTAGGTCAGAGAAAGAAAGTATGAGAGAAGACAAGATGTCCTGGATCTGAGAAGTCTTCCTCCCCTCCTACCCTGAACCTGATCCAGACCCTGTGGGTTTAGTATTTTGTGCACAGTGCAACACCACACTCATCATAAAGACCTATGGTCAGGCCTGGCGGGCGTGGCTCAGTGGATTGAGCATCGTCCCATGGACTAAGACATCCTGCTTCGATTCCCGGTCAAGGCACATGCTCAGGTTGTGAGCTCAATCCCCAGTGGGGGCATGCAGGAAGTGGCCAGTCGATGTTCTCCCACATCGATGTTTCTATCTCTCTCTCCATCTCCCTTCCTCTCTAAAATCAATAAAGAAATAAAATAAAATAAAAAGACTGATGGTCAGTCTAAGCACTGTGAATAATTGCAGTCTAAGCACTGTGAATCTTACTTCCTGAACAGTTAAGATATTTTACATTTTTCTTAATGTCTTCTTGCTAGGATAACATGTTAAAATGTGTCACATTATTTAGAAAAGAAATATGTTCAAAAGCTATCTAACGAGAGTATGGGGAAATGCATGGCATTTTTTAAAGTTTCCATATTTGGGAGGGGGAGGGGAAATAAACCAAAGAACTTACATGCATATAAGCATAACCAATGGACACAGACAACAATGCTGTAAGGGGAGCAGGAGTGGGGAGGAGGGTGTCAATGAGGGATAAAGGAGAAACATTTGTAACAAAAATAAATAAAATTTTTAAATAATTATAATAAAAAAATAAAAATAAACCTAGAATAAATAAATAAATAAAATAAAATAAAAGTGTCCGTACTTGCCGTCAGGTGAAATGTTGATTCCATTAGCAAAATCAAATCCGCCTGCCACCACTTTAACTTCATTTGGACTATAGTAAACAACATACGACAATGCTAAACCCAAATATAACTCCCAGGATTTCAAGTAGCGTTCAGCAAAATAGTGATCGTTTGTGGCATAAAAGTGCTCAGGTCCCACGGCAACAATATCATTCAAACTGCAATTCAAACACATACACATGAAAAATACAGATGGAGGTACTGTGCCTACAGGATCATGCACAGGCACTCATTAATATTTATTCCTAAAATCAAGGTGTGGGATGGAGCCTTCACTCTACCTGTTATGGCAGAAAATTGCTGTGAAATCAGTCCCACCTAATCCTCAAAGACTACAGTTATGCTAAGAAACCCTAAGAGGTGATTACAATGTGATATAAAAGTCCTATTTGCTGTATCATAAAATAGTACTATAGCATGTGTGTGTGTGTGTGTGTGTGTAGAAACTAAAGTTAGTAAACATTAAATCAGGCCAGGAATCATTATCAGGGCAAAATTTATTTATGCCCAAATAGCATTTACTCCCATAGTGAACAGTCCAGGACATCATCAGGCAATAGTAAAAAACACTGGCAATATTGTGCCTTGCGTTTTAGTTAACGCTCAGCTCCCATTACTGTGTGATTTAGGGAAAATCAATCATTTTACCTGCCAGGGCCCAGTTTTCTTATCTTAAAAGGAAGGTGAGATGGACTGATCTCTTTCTGCTTTAAAGAGTCACTTCCAGTTCTAAAGTTTCATGACTCATAAACTGAGTAAAATGCCCATGAACACAACTTCTCAGAAACGAGATGCAATGGCTCCCCCCCCCCGCTTCTCTGATTTTGATTCTCTCTATGTTACTGAAAACCTGAGATACATGAGTCTATTTTTCTGCTTTAATAGGTACAACAGCGAACACATAAGTGAGCCATTCTTTGCTGATTGAGGTGACAGAAGTCTCCAGGAGCCATTATCTGGGAAAGAATGGTCTCTGCTCCATCGCGGGGCACCTAGCGGCCAGCACACCAGCGCTGACGTCACTCGGCTCCTGGGAACGTTAAATAAGTGGACAAAGCCTCAGTTTTCTCATCTGTAAAGAGAGGTTAAATGGTTTTCCCAAAGTCACGCAGCTCCTGAGTATAAGACGAAGGGTCAGAATCTTCATCTGTGGAGTTGCAGTGGGAATGAGAATGAGCTGGCAGCCACTGTTCCTACATGAGTAAAACGGTCTAGGGATTTAAGATGAGTCTGTACAGGCTCCGGGCATAAACCTGCCAGCTGGCCTTTTCTATTTTCTCTCTCCTTTTTTAAAAGCAAATTTCCAAAATTAGTATGCTTTGCAGTCCTTTGCTGTTTTCCATACAAAGGAGCAGAGCAGAATGGTTTAGAGTAATCGTTTTCAAATCTGATCGACTCCATTTGAATGCTGACTTTGCTTGCTGTCTTATCTGGGGGGTTGGAGGGTGGGTGACAGCATGTCATTAAACTCTGGGCCTCTGTTTCCACTCTATACCTCGACAGGCTGTGGTAAGAATCAAATGAAATAATGAATGCAGTCTGGTCAGAGTGGCTCAGTTGGATGAGCATCATCCTGTGCACTGTAAAGTTGCTGGTTCAATTCCCGGTCAGGTCACATGGCTGGATTTCGGGGCATGTACAAAAGGCAACCAATCAATGTTTCTCTCTCTCTCCCTCTCTCTTTTCCTTTCTTTCTCTAAGCATGGTTTTGGATGAGGATTTAAAACTAACTAACTAACTAAATAAATAAATAAATGCAAAGCCCTTGGCATCATGCCTAGTATACAGTAAATGACCATAGCGTTAATAATAACATGCTTAAATTATGATATATTAGTCATTCAAAAATCAATGCTATAAATGACTACCAAATGCAAAGCAGAAACCATACATGGTGGCGCTTAGGTTGAGAGCAGAATCTCGGTGAACTGTGGCACCACAGTTACTTTCAGTTTGGTTCAACGTTACCAAAGACCAATATTGTTGCAATTGGTCCAGAATAAAATATACTCTAATCCTGGGAAATTAGACAAATCTTAGATTTCCAAGATTAGATGGTGAAACAAATAAGTTTTCGCTATTTCATAGTGGCTTGGATCACCAGCTCCAGACTCAAGCTACTAGGATTAAAATCCTAGCTGTACCATTTATTGATGATGGTGACATCTCGAGCAAGTTAAATACTCCAGGCTGCAAATGTTTAAACTCCAAAATGGTATAACAATAGAACCTAAACAAGAAGGCATTTGTAAAAAGTTAATAAAATAATCTGTTTAAATTGATTATTGCAGCACTTCACACAGTTAAAGCTCATTAAGTTACTACTACTATGATTATCATTATTAGCCCAGCTTCTCCATTCTATATACTTTTCCCTAATTTAGATCTTGGTAATTGGTACATTCTCAGTGTTCTCATTCTCTTTCTAAAATAGATTTGTGAAATGAATGTATGAATAAACTCTGCCATCAAAAGCTCTTTGAACTTCCCCTCGTTCTTGGGATGCAGAAGATCTGGGCCATAGTTCCTGATCGGCCACTATGTGGTTGATTGACCTTCACCCAGTAACTCAGTTTCTCTCCAGTCTGTTTCTTCCTTGCTGACACCATCAGGTAAGAAAGCATGTAAATGACACGTGGTTTAAAGGAAATGTAGATTTACAAATACTGCGGTGGTTGAATGCTGTATGTAAATTATTCAAATAGAGGTTGGAATTCTAGAAAACTATAATGATTAGAGAATAAAAATTGCTTGGAAAACTAGTGTCAGAGTATCATCCTAAATCCATCACTTGTCTTATAAACCAAATCCTCATGTAAGCAAGGAAGCTGGCTTTGTGTGGGGTTGATGGGATCAGGGACCCCTGAGTGTTTTCTTTTTCCTTGTGGTCACAGAGCCCAGGATGGAGCTGAGCATTACCCCAGGTCTGTGGTTCCACAAGCACGGGGAACCTAACAGCAGTAGAGGCCGGAAGGCCCTGGAGGCACAGATTTCAGATCACCTCTTAGGTATGTGCTTCTAATTCCTAAAAGCATCACAGATTCTATTCAAGAAAACACAACAGACATAAAAATAACAAATAAACTCAAGGTGTGAAATTTGCCTATGAAACTGGTTTGGGTTTGAAATACTAAGTCTGTTTCTAGAAAAAGAGCAGATTTTCCTTGGCGAAAGCTCGCATGGACGTTCTGAGGCTAGCGGGGCATAGCCAGTGTCCAGCCGGCCGGGAAATGAGGGCCATAGGGAAAGGGGCTTGGGTCCTCAAAAGTGTCTGTAGAAGAACATTTGGAGGAGTGTGTGATCATGAGAAAGCAGAGGTGAATGGCCACTATCTTCCTTCCCCATAGCCGAAAGGAAACACTGAAAGTGAATTAGCTGTCCACCAGTTAAGGGAAATAGAAATAGGATGGATTTCAGTACTTAGGCATAAGTTCGTGTCTGATGGTTTTCAGATGCAAAAGTGATTTTTCTTTCTCTTGAAATTTAAACAACTCAACGGTACACTCAAATTCTGGATGGCTCACCACCAGCAAGTACACGGTATTATCTGAGAAGAGATTAAAAACAAAAATTGAAACATTAACTGAGCTCTCAGCTGTCAGAACTGTCTCCAAAAAGCAATTTCAACCCACCTCCAACTGGTACTTACGGTGTCAGGCAGATGGACTATTTTCATCTCTTTGTAGCGAGAAGCATTTGCGATTGTTTCACAGAGAAATGGCTAAAGGAGGAACTAGTGGCAGTCTCTGAAAACCCCAAGCTCCACAGGGGGAAAAATATCTTTAAATTAAGAATGAGCAGCGCTTGACACTAAAACTTCAAAGAGCTTGTTAAGCTTTCTATTGCAGATGGTCTCAGCAAGATAGAGTGGAGATAAAAAAGGCGGGGAATATTAATATGAGAAAGTGTGTTCAGGTATAGTTTACACCATTTAAGATGATAAATTCCATAAAAAGAACACCTGAGAAAGAGTATCAAAGGGAAGGCACTTCCGTGAATCAGTGCTGCTTTGGAACGTGAAAAAGACCAGTCCAAATGGTCACGATGTGAAAAGTTAGATTCCAGTCTTTGCCTTAAGAATCAGTAAGCCTATGGCAACCTTCAACATGACCAATTTGGTGTTTAAAGGAAAACAATATGAAGTTTAGTAGGTTGAACTAAACAGATTTGAGCGGAGAAGCTAGCTAGGAGGGTCTTCATTCAACAAAGTATTTACTTTACTTGGTTTTAGGTGATACAAAGAAAAAATAAAATGGAATAAAGCGATGGAGAGTAATAAAGTTTTCTTCATAGGAGTCAAGGAAGTTCTTTTCTCTGTTGAGGTGATATTAAAGCAGAAACCTAAGTGAAATAAGAGACAAAATCATGTGAACATGTGGTGAAAAAGCATTCCAGGCTGAGGGAAGAGAGCGTGCAAGGGGCCTGAGGCAGGAGCTTCCTTGGCACATTTGCTTAATAGTGAGGTTGTGGTTGGAGTGGACTGAGTGACAGAACGAGTGGGAGGGCTGACGCCATAGAAGTAGGAAGCCAGGGTTAGTCTTGTTAGGGCTTAGGGTAAGGATCCAGGCTTTATCCCTGGGGGATTTGAGCCCAGGAGTAACATGGTCTGAGGCTCCAGCAATTCATGCATGTGGACAGGAGGAACTGGGCCAGGAGGAAAGGATGTGAGAGGCATTTGTCAGGAAGTATCAGAAGCCCCTGGTGATGACTGAGAAACGAGGGAGTTAGAAAGCAAACATGAGTGAGAATTAAAAAGCGGATTCATGTCTTGCACAGCAAAGTCCACTTCTAGGAATTTATCTTAAGGAATATTTACAGAAGATATATGCGCAAGAACATTTATTTTAGCATTGTTTGCAGTGAGCACGAAGGTAGATACAGACAAATATCCATGAACAGCCATTGTAAAGTAGTCCTAAATGCACTGAGTAGTGTTTCATGCAAAAGCAACTTATAGAAGGGTTTGTGTAATACTTGTGTAGTATTTCCCATTTTTATTTGAAAGAGTACACACACACCCAACACTATATTCCTTTCTTTAAAATATATTTTTATTGATTTTTTTTTTTTTGAGAGAGAGGGAGAGAGATACAAACATTGATATGAAAGAGAAAGATTAATCAGCTGCCTCTTGCACAGCCCCCACCAGGGATCAAGCCCACAACCCGGGCATGTGCCCTGACCAGGAATCGAACCAGGACCTCTCAGTCCATAGGATGACGCTAAATCCACTGAGCCACATCGGCTGGGGTATTTTTTGGTACTTAAAAATATTTTGGCCCATCAGAAGGGATTGTCTGATGAGGTGGTGGAAGCCATGGGTATAGATGTGGTCCTCAAACCTAGCCTAACATTTTTATCTCCAGGGGAACCTTTAAGAAGTACTCCTACCCAGGCTCCCCTCTGACTGGCTGAATCAGAATATTGGGGCTGGAGCCTGGGCATCAGGCTTTGTAAAACTTCCCAGGTGTTTTCATGTGCACTTTGTGGGGAAGAATTAAAGACCAAGGGTCAATTTCAAAATGGCAGCAGAGTGAATGGAAGCTACACAGACCATCTCCCAGGACCAAACTGGAATTACAACTAAAATAAAGACAAATCGTTGGGAAAAAGCAACAGAAAAGCAGTTTGCAAGGACCATATAACCAGGGACACTGAATCGATTCTGATAAGATTGCAGATGTGCCCTGGCCAGTTTGGCTCAGTGGCTGGAGCGTCAGCCTGTGGTCCAGAGAGACCCGGGTTTGGTTCCTGCTGGGAGCGCGTGCTTCGGTTGTGGTTTGTCCCTGGCCCTGGTTGGTCATGCGGGTGGCAGCCACTTGATGTGTCCCTTTCATGTTGATGTTTCTCTCTCTCTCTCTCTCCCTCCCACTCTATCTGAACAAAAAATGGAAAATGTCCTCGGGTGAGAATAAACAACAACAACAAAAGATTGCATATGTGCGAGAGGGGGGCTGGGAGCCCATGGACAGCAGTGGTCTTAGCTGTGAGCAGCACCCTCGGGGTTAAACTCCCAAGTGGCTCCATAGCACAGAGCCGGGACAGAGCTGAAATAGCCACAGCCACTCACCCTGGGCTCCGGCAGAGGGAGGGCAGACTGGACTGGAACTGTGTGGGGACACTCGGGATTTGGAGGACACTCAGAGCTTTTGCTGAGTTGTGGCCACCCAGGACAGTGGCCATATTACTCCTTCCCAGGGCTCTGGGATGAGGCAGCGGCCCCTCCCTCGGAGATTCAACCCCACCCAGGTGGGTCATTGAAATGCAAATTGAGGCTCATTAACAACCAGCATCTGCACCACCCTCTGGAATTCCCCTTACCCTGAACTACTGAGGGAGTTTTTCTTTTTCTTTTTTTTTTTAAATTTATTTTATTTTATTTTTGTTACAGATGTTTCTCCTTTTTTACCCCATTGACACCCTCCTCCCCATCCCCCCCACCCCATCCCCAGCTTTGTTGCCCATGTCCATTGGTTATGCATACATGCATATGAGTTCTGCAGTTTATCTCTTCCCTCCCTCCACCACGCCCTCTTCTGAGGGTTGTCAGTCTGTACCTTACTTCCACGTCTCTGTGTATACCCTATACCTCAGACTGTTATGATCATTATATTCCACAAATAAGTGAGATCATGTGGTATTTGTCTTTTTCTGCTTGGCTTGTTTCACTTAGGATAATACTTTCCAGGTCCCTCCATGTCATCTCAAAGGATAAGAGATCCTTCTTTTTTACAGATGCATAGTACTTCATTGTGTATATGGACCACAGCTTTTTTATCCATTCATCTACTGATGGACACTTGGGCTTTTTCCAGATCTTAGCTATTCTAAATAGTGCTGTTATGAACATGAGATACATATATTCTTTCTGATTGGTGTTTCAGGCTTCTTAGGGTATACTCCTAGAAGTGGGATCACTGGGTCAAATGGCAATTCAATTTTTAATTTTTTGAGGTAACACCATATTGTTTTCCATAGTGGCTGCACCAGTCTGCATTCCCACCAGCAGTGTACTAGAGTCCCCTTTTCTCCACACCCTTGCCAACACTTGTTTGATGATTTGTTGATGGTGGCCATTCTGACAGGTGTGAGGTGATATGCTCAACAGGTATGAGGGAATAGAGGGATCATATCTCGACATAATAAAGGCCATATATGAAAGACCTACAGCCAACATCCTACCAGTGGGCAGAAACTAAAAGCATTTCCCTTAAGAACAGGAACAAGACAGGGATGCCCACTTTTGCCACTCTAATTTAACATAGTACTGGAAGTTTTAGCCACAGCAATCAAACATGAAATAAAAATAAAAAGGATCCAAATTAAAAAGGAGGAAGTGAAACTGTCATTATTTGCAGATGACATTATATTATACATAGAAAACCCATAAAGACTCCATCAAAAATCTAGACTTAATAAATGAATTTGACAAAATTAATGTCAAGAAATCGATGGCATGCTTATACACTAATGATGAACTCACAGAAAGAGAAACTGAAAAAACAATTCCATTTACCATTGCGGCAAAAAAATTAAGATACCTAGGAATAAACTTAATCAAAGAAGTAAAGGACCTATTTGCAGAAAACTACAGGTCTTTTAAAAAACAAATAGAGGAAGATATAAAAAAGTAGAAGCACATATCTTGTTCATGGATTGGAAGTATTAACATCATTAAAATGTCCATACTACCCCAAGCAATCTATAGATTCAGTGCAATCCCCATAAAAATACCAATGACATATTTCACAGAACTAGAAAAAATACTTCAAAAGTTCCTATGGAACCAAAAAAGACCCCGAATAGCCACAGCAATCTTGAAAAAAGAAGGACAAAGTAGGTGGGATCACAATACCGGATATCAGGTTGCACTACAAAGCTACTAAAATCAAAACAGCCTGGTACTGGCACAGAAACAGGCATATAGACCAGTGAAACAGAACAGAGAACCCAGAAATGGACCCAAGACATTATGCTCAATTAATATTTGACCAAGGAGGCAAGAGCATACAGTGGAGTAAAGACAGCCTCTTTAATAAATGGTGTTGGGAAAATTGGACAGCTACATGCAAAAAAATGAAATTAGACCATCAACTTACACCATACACAAGAATAAACTCCAAATGGATAAAAGGCTTAAATGTGACCCATGCGTGAATCCATAAAAATCCTAGAAGAAAATGTAGGCAACAAAATTTCAGATATCATACGCAGCAGAATTTTCACTGATACATCACCTAAGGCAACACAAACAAAGGAGAAAATGAACACATGGGACTATATCAAACTCAAAAGCTTCTGCACAGCAAAAGAAACAACCATCAAAATGGAAAGGCAACCCACTGTATGGAACAGCATCATTGCCAATGATACATCAGGTAAGGGGTTAATTTCCAAAATATATAGAGTACTCATACAACTCAACAAGAGGAAGACAAAGAATCCAATTAAAAAATGGGCAGAGGAGCGGAATAGACACCTCTCCAAACAGGACATACAAATGGCCAAGAGACATATGAAGAAATGCTCAACATCACTAATCATCAGAGAGATGCAAATTAAAATAACAATGAGGTATCATCTCACACCTGTCAGAATGGCCGCCATCAACAAATCATCAAACAACAAGTGTTGGAGAGGGTGTGGATAAAAGGCGACTCTAGTACACTGCTGGTGGGGGTTCAGCCACTATGGAAAACACTGTAGTGTTACCTCAAAAAGCTAAAAATTGAATTGCCATTTGACCTAGTGATTCCACTTCTAGGAATATACCCTAAGAAGCCTGAAACACCAATCAGAAAGAATATATATACCCCCATGTTCATAGCAGCACTATTTACAAAAGCTATGATCTGGAAACAGCCCAAGTGTCCATCGGTAGATGAATGGATAAAAAAGCTGTGGTCCATATACACAATGGAGTACTAAGCAGCTGTAAGAAAGAAAGATCTCATTCTTTGAGACAACCTGGAGGGACCTGGAAAGTATTATCCTAAGTGAAACAAGCCAAGCAGAAAAAGACAAATACCACAGGATGTCACTTATTTGTGGAATATAATGAACATAACAGTCTGAGGAATAGGTTAGACCCAGAGACGTGGAAGTAGGGTACTGACTGACAGTCCTCAGAAGAAGGGGTGGTGGGGGTAGGGAAGAGATAAACCACAGAACTTATATGCATGTATGCATAACTAATGGACACGGGCAACAAAGCTGGGGACAGGGTTGGGGGGATGGGGAGGAGGGTGTCAATGGGGAAAAAAGGAGAAATATCTGTAATAAAAATAATAATAATAAAAATAAATAAATAATAAATAAAGTAAAGACCAAGGAAATGGCTACAAAAAGAAAGGAAGCAATGAAAGTGAAGACACAAAGAACCGGGGTGGGGGGCACTCTATTAAAATGTGGAGACACAGTCTAAAGACAAACCAGAGGAGCCAGTGGACAGGGAGTCACTGGAGGTGACGGGGCTGAATCAGAGCTGACCATGGTGACTTTCTATAGGCTGCAAGTGCCTTATGTTAGAAAACCTATTCCTGTACATGCTTGGACCTTTCAAATGGAAAAACCCATATTATTAGGCCTGAATATTATTACTACGTAATTACCGGGATGTGAGTGTTGGTAGTATTTTTTAAAATTAGGTGCTTTAGACATTTTAAATATTTTAACATTCGCCAGCATTTAAGTAGTTATAATATATTTCATTAACATATGGGGTAAGTTTAAAATGCAGAATAAGAACATTCTTCATGATTGTACTTTAGTGGGATGAAAAGAAATATTCATGTGTTAACTTTTTTTGTTTTGTTTTTTAATTTGGTTTTATGTCTAAGAAACATTATATATGGTTACCTTCATCTGTGAATGTGCTGATCCCATGAGGGTTAAACGAAGACAAATTGAAGTCACTTCCAGTGATGCTCAATTCTGACACTGTTGGATCTTCCTCATTCAGGTTCATCAAAAGTATTTTCCCAGGTTTATCAGGTTCAAAGCTCTTAATTCCAGGATATTTCAATCCCTTATAAATAATGAAGGAGAAAAAAACCAGGCACATTACAAACGCTGATGGAGGTGGTAGATGGCTCGAGGGAGTCACTCTGTCTGCTCCACACACCAAGGCCACATATCTGGCTCATGCAATAGGCCCACAGGGTGCTCTGGAAACCCCGTGTTCCATCGGGGGACCCCCACACACAGGCACAGACCCATCCCAAGCAGTGAAGCCATATGAGACCCATATCACAGCTACCAAATTATGAGAAAGATTTTTTTTAATTAGAAGAGTAGACCAAAGGGGCATTTAGTAATGGGATTTAATGATATAAGCAAGAAATCTGAAGAGAGCATTGTTTATATGATTTTTAGACTATCCCCTGGCAGGGTTCTTGAACGCATCTCAGGCACAGAGGTTCAGGGGAAATCTGGTGAGCCAGGATACAACTCCTTAGCCTTTAGGTACAACAGCACAGCTCTTACTTGTTTTAGACATCGGGGCCCTATATAAGATTTTGCTAAAAATATGTATTCTGCTGCTTTAAAAACAGGTTTGCAAGAGACTGTTGTAGAGGATGACTAGTCTCCAATCTTCATAAGAGGAAACTGGACTCAATAAATTACCACCGGCAGCAAAGTGTTTTCAGTGGCCGGATGACTTCTACACTGTATCCTGTTAACTCTGCCATCCTAGACTAGCCTCCAGCTGCTTCTGTTTGGGCTACATCACTGCTGCAGTGATCTGTATGCATGAGAGTTTCCACGGGCATGGTGGGCTCCCCCTTCAAAGTTGGGAATCATGGAATAACCTATCAGCAATTTTAAGTTGAAGGGATTTACTCTGAAAAGTATATGAAAGGTAAAAATGTAAATGATATGTGAGGGGGTAGAAAAGTACCCTAAATTCAGCAAACATTTGAGTACACCACTTAAGTGCTTCAAGGGATAGACAGTTGAATGGGAAGCCATTCTTGAACTCACTGGGCTCGCACAATGTTACAATGGGAGATAAGGTGATGTAAGAGCTCAGTGTGCACACGGGAACACAGATATGCACGGGACACATACGATCATTATTGAAACACCAGTGTAAACACATACACAGTTTGGTTTTTGAACCATACAACTGCTCATTTTATTTAAAGGTTAGCATAGGTATATAGAAGATTTAAATGAAAGACTTAAGCTATTGGTTCTAGAAAATGGTCCAGTGAAAGGAAATACTTACGGAGCTAATCAAAGCCAGTCCATTAGGAAGTATCTCCAAGTCTTCAGAGCCAGATTCTGCCAGAAAAGAGAACAGATAATACTTTCAACAATAAAGATGCACTTTTTAAAAAGAAAGAACAGATGGCACAGATTGCTTCACACTGTTGCTAGAAACTCATGGTCATCTTTCTTTCTTTCTTTCTTTCTTTCTTTCTTTCTTTCTTTCTTTCTTTCTTTTTTATCACTTCTAACTTGAAAATAGGGCTGCATCATCTCTTTGATAAGGTCAAAATAATTACACCTTTCATTTATTTTTCCAGTTGGCTAAGGTGATTATATAAAAATGAAAAGACATTGATATAATTAAGTATAATTAAAACTTATACTTAATATATTTGTTTTAAATTGGTGGACTAGAACTTTTCCTGAGTCTGAAATCTCATATAAAGGTCATGGAACTTCACAAAATGTACAAAACGTATGATAATTTGAAAATAACGCTGTTTTTTTTTTTTTTTTTTAAAGACACAGTAAATTACCAATATATATTGATTCTTAATAATTCCAAATCTTTGAAAACCACACTGGAAATATGAGCAAATTTCAAACGCTTTGGTTAAAATGGGAGTATGTTTCATATGCAGTGTGTGCATTTACTGTTAATTATAAACATCTGTAAAATATCACCGTTAGTTATACTTTAAATACATGTAATTTTAAAAAAAATTTCAGTTAGTCTAGAAACAAGTGAGATCTTTTGGTTTTGTATTGATACTCTTTGTGGAGATGTTTGTTTTTCAGATATCTAGAGATATTTAATATCAACATTGTTATTTGTTTTCTAGAAAAAAATTACACTGTAAGGTATCTGACCAAGCTAATCCATGCTAACTGAATAAGTCATCTGGTCCAGCCTTTCTAACCTTAGGCAACTAAGATAAATAATTCAAAAACAACAACAAACAAGAACTAACAAACAAACAAAAGAACACAGAACAACATAAGCATCGATCTTGAACAAGTCGTCTTCAAATAACAAAGCTGGTTGGTTGAAACCAGGTGGGGACTCAAGTCCCTGTCGGTTGCCTACCAGCTGCTGTTCTATTCACCTGCCCTTTTATCTTTGTGGACAGGGCCTGCCTCCTACAATGGAGGCTTGATAATTACTTTTCCAGCTTCCTTTGCAGCTAGGGCACCAGCCAGTTGTCTAGCTCCAACTAATGAGATCTAAAGGGAAATCTGCTGAGAGCTTCTGAGAAAAACTTTCTTCCCTGATATTAAAATAGAGAGCCTTGTAGTAACTGCAAAGGTGTGTGAGGGTTTGTAAAAGTTTATCCTTCACTCTCTGCTTTCTTTCCCTCTTCTATCTCTCCTCCACCATCTCCTCAGGTTATATTACTATAAAATCAAACACCATTCTATTGTTTTTGCTAAACTGACCAAATACAAAGAAATGACTGAAACCCTGTCAACACCTTGGCAATATGTTAGTGAAGTCAAAAGACTAATTTATTTCAAATTACCTGACTTAATAATACTCTTCTGGTTCATAGTCTTATTTTTGAACAAAGCTTAACAGGTATAGTAATCACATATATAGCAAGATAATACTGAAAGTTCGAATGGAATATTCCTTCTCTCACATACTTACCTATTCCTTTAACTAAATTACAGTTAGGAAGTTCTACTGGGTTTACTTCTCGGAAAGCAGTAAATCGTGTTCTGAGGGGAGAAAAAAGGAATAAAATACACATAAAACTATTCAGAAATTATAAGTTGCAAAGGTAAGTAGCCAGTAAAGTTTTTCTTAACTTTACTTTGCCTGGGTTTCAACCCCAGGGTTTGTGGTCCTTGGAACCTGAGCAATTCTACCAGGCAAGGCCAGAGCAAGACACGTGGGCTCTCTAGGAATAATATTTAGTATTTATTAGGTATAAGTGAATAGATACACAAAGAGGATATATAATGTCCCCTCCAGGGCTCTGTGCCCTTTGGCAGGAACAGGAACTATTTCATCAGCTATGTAAGGAGTCCTATGTGGAAATTTGGATTAAATAGCAACATGGTTCCAATTTATTCCATTGATGTTTTAGGGCTGCTGACAGATGGGCGTTCAGCCCATCTGCTCAGTCTGACTCCAAAGCCGGGACTGGGCATCAGCTTTAGGTGTGCTACTTGAAAAATGCAGGTGTACTTAAAAGGTTTTATAACTTCAAAAAATCATACCCAGGGCCAGCATATAAAAAGGCATATCACACAAACATACCCAAAAGCAACATTAAAACTCAGTACATACTCATCGAAGAGAACATTGGCGTGAAGGACAAAGGAATAAAGAACAGATGTGAGAAGGAAGTACCAGCAGGCCGCCTGAGCAGAGCAAAGCTATTGATGAGGCATTTGAAAGAAGTGGACTACAACATTAGCACAGCCAAGAGATTTAAACAATAAACATTTTTTTATATAACTGATGATACAATAGATTATCATTACTTGCTTTACTGATAATTTAGTCTCACAGAAGGAAGAGATGAGCTAGAGGTCAATGGACACTTTGGATAAAATCCTTACCAACCTGGTACAAAATGATAGGAATTTGGAGGCAATTAAACTTTCTTTAATTCAGAAAAAAAAAAAAGCAACATGTCCCTACTACCATGCCATTGGCTATCAATTTCACCTTCTAAGAGGGTCTGACCGAAAAGGCTAGGAGTGGGGTCCAGTAACCTGCTTTGTTAAAGCACCAAGTCCATCCCGATGAACAACCAGGGTACAGAGCCACTGGCCTGGCTGCCAGAGATCCAGAGATGAGAAAGGCCTGCAAGGGGTGGTGGTTCCCTGAATGATAGACATGAACTTAGAAAACAGACTTCACAGGATGGTAGGGATCTGCCCCGGGACATGAGAAACTAAAAGGCATTTCAAAAAAGGAAATCTGACATACAATCACAAAACTGCACAATAAAGAAATAAAAAAGGAAAGTGATGGAATCATGGCTTGAAAATGTCCAGACTGATACCCACATTAGGAAAAGCATTTTACACAATGAACACACACTGCATACATACTCACACACCACACCCATCTGAAATAAGGTTCACAAAAGATTCTCACCCTAAAACATGTACTAGATACACCCTTAACTTTTACATTCAATTTTATTTCATTATTTAAAAATGCTGGTCATGATCTGCTACATGGATTTTATGACCCACCATTTTTAAAAACTCTGGACTAGGGAAAACTCAGTGAATATTCCCACAGTGCCCCAAGGAACTCAAAGAACTGGTCAAGATGTTAAGGGGGAAGGTCTAACCAAGGACAGTCCAATGGGTGGCATGGAGGAAGACAGTCAAGGATGTGAAATTGCTGAATGGGTCAAGACTTGTGAAAAATGTCAAAGCCAGCCAAATCGGCTTTTCTTAGAGTCAAAACCACACGAAAGAGCAGGCATGCTGCCCGACTCTTTAGAAATGGGGAAGTTGCCACACCGACATGGCCTGAAACACTACACGCCCAGGGGGCGCTGTTGATACTCTAGTCCATTCCCTGGATGTGTGCAGCGCACACCTGCAAGGCCACAGGCAGGGGTGGGGAGCTCTCTCAGTTCCTTTGTGTGGCTATCACCTCAGAAGTGTCAGGGACAGTGCCAAGATACCCTTGTGTCCTTTTACAAGTCAGTTCCCTCCAGCCCCAGATCTATATCACTTCTGTGAACCGGTCACAGGCAGGACATAGTGTACTTTGGTCCTCAGGAAAATCAGAAGTGGGCCTGGGGCCCTGGAACCATTTTCCCTTGAGTTTCTTTGCTTCTCTGGATGAGCTTTAAGCTTCCCCTGCTGCCCAAGGCCAAGCGCCAACTTCTTTAGGTTGAAATCTGAGTCTTGGTGCAAGTCTGTGGTATAGAACACCCCTTCTAAAACTCTCCCAGAGATTATGCAGGATGTTCATTATGGTACCAAAAAGGGGAGTGGAGGGGACCTGGGCAAATAAGTCTGTGAAATGATGACCGAAAGCAAAAACTTTTTTTTTTTTTACACTGAAGAACTTTACAAGGCCTTCATTGTGCCAGAGTGTATTGTCAGTCTCCAGGAGAAGACTACAACAGACAGCATTTCCCAAATGTATTTATTCAAGGAACCCATTTTTGGGTGGAAAAAGCCTTGAGGCTCATGTTCCAAAGAACAAACTTGGGGATATATTCACATTGAATAAAATAAGCTAAGACTTCATATTGAGAGAGAAACATTTTAGGGTGGGTGTGGTAAAGCTTTATTTTTACACAAAAACGTGAACAAGATGGCTACAGACTCCTTTCTTAGAGTGAATTAAGGAAGGCAAACCAGAAAGATAGACCCTCACTGCTTCCTGGCAGCTCTGTAACTCTGTGGAAGACATCTCCACGAGGGACAGCTGGCGAGTGTGGGCAGAACACACCCAGGTGCAGCTGCAAATGGAGAGTCCAAAGGAGAAAGCTTAGATGCGATGTGAGACGGTTTTGTCTCATTTATTTCACCCCAGGATGATATCACAATGCACACACATGCCATATGCTGGAATGAATACACACACACACACACACACACACACAGACATATACATACATACACCCATACACCCCTTTGGTAGCAAATAGTATCATGATTAATAAAATCCACAAACCAATATTCACATGATTTAATACCCAAATCAGCCCTGGTCAGTTTGGCTCAGTGGTTAGAGTGTCAGCCTGTGGACCAGGGGGTCCTGGGTTTGTTCCCGCTAAGGGCATGTACCTTTGTTGCAGTTTGTCCCTGGTTCCGGTTGGGGTCACGTGGGTGGCAACCACTCAATGTGTCTCTCTCATGTCGATGTTTCTCTCTCTCCCTCCTGCTCTATCTCAGGATAAATGCAAAAAAAAAAAAAAAAAAAAGTGTCCTTGGATGAGGATAAAAAACAAACCCAAATCATGAAAAGTTTAAAATGTTCAATTTGACTTTTAGTAATGTTTTACTTCAAAGTCAACAACAGGTACTATTAACTAAGTCTTAGGGATTAGGTGATCTTTAGACTTTGAACCCCTATAAAAAGTTAACACAAAACTATTGCTAAATTCTTAAAACCACCCTCCACTCCCAGTATCTAACAACATATAAAATCCTTTCAAAGCAGGGGACTAACATTCATTGAGTAGCTACTACGTCCCAGGCACAGTGGTAGTTGCTCCCTGTATGAGTGTGGGTTACCTGTTCAGATTTACTGAAGCAGTGCAGGTTGAGAGATGTACAGTGATTTGCCCAAGATCCCACAATAGAAGGAACAGAGCAGAACCCAGGACATCAAATGCCAGCGCCAGGGTTCTTCCCCCCTACCCCACTCCCCAATCCCCACTGGAGCGCAATGGGCCAGGCAGCCACCGTGGGGGCCCTTTCCCTAACTCACACATCAGAGCCACCCCGGGTTGATTATCTCTTTGGAAGAGAAGTTGAGAAGTGAATGTGTAGCCAGGCACATGGATCTTCATGAAAAATGAATTCGTGTAAGCCACCAACTTGGCCACTCACACCACTGACAGCTGTCTCCTTGCCCCATCCATCTCTCAGACCGTGAGCAAGCGGATGTTCTCAAGTGGCACACATAAGTTGGACAATCATTTAGAAATCCCTGCGGGACGTGCATCCAGCACTTGCCTGTGGACTTTCTGTTAACAGTCTGGACCCACTTTCGGGGGCAGGGTGTCCTGGGCTGGCAGGGTGGGTGGGGAGCCCAGGTGCGGCGGCCCTCACCGCAACCCGACTTACTGGTTAGACTTGTGATCCCTGAAGAATCTCAGTCCCAGCCCCAGCAGGATGAGCACCAACAGCTTCGGCATGGCCTGGGACAGACAAATGGACGGTGACTGATGCGCGGACAGCGGGGAGAACCTGTCTGCCTGCAACCCAGGTCCCGCTCGCACCGCCAGGGATTGGCCCGCAGGGTCCCGCCCTCGGAGCCGCAGGCCGCCCCTCACCCCTCACCCCTGGGCACTCAGCGGGCGGCGCTAGCTTCTGGTCAGCGCCTGCCTTCGCCCAGGAGCTACGAGCGCCCCCGAGACTTCAGACTTCGAAAGAGGAAACCATGAGCAGCTGCCTAGACTGGGAAAGAAGGGGACAGCAAGCAGGTGGGAGCTAATGGAGAGCCAAGCTTCGACGAGCACCTCACTTTGTGCCCAAAAGGTCTAAATTTTTCAGGGTCACAGGGTTTCTGTAACTCGATCCCCCTGACTCAGCCCGAAAAGGCATGGAAGGAAGGGGGGCACAGAAGGCCACCACGGTGTGTCACCTTCAATCATCTGGATATCAAGCATCTCATTCTCTCAGCTCCATTCCTGACCTTCCAGCCCATCAAGGTCATTGCTCTGTGTTCCTTCATTCAGGCAGTCGCTGACATTTATGAAGTACCTGCTATGTGCCAGAAACCAGTGGAATATATTACCACTGCATACATAATGCTGCGGGAAATGCACACATCTATGGAGAAGTATAAAATGGGGAGGGGAGATAAGGAGCACTGAGGGACCATTTATGAAAGGGGGTAATCAAGAAAGGCCTCGCTAATAAGGGGGCTTCTGAGCAAAGCCAGGTAGCAGGTACCTCTGCATACCCATCTCTCTTGTCACCATGAATCAGGTGTTTCCTGCTTCACTAGTGACCAGCCCCTCCCTACTCTGGGTCCCTTTCCTTCTTAAGGAATTTGGTCCATTACACTTTCTCTCTCCTACTGCAACCACTCTTCCTCTTTTCTGGAATGCTTTATATATGCTTTATTGTCACTTGCAGTTTTCTGGGGAAAATGCTCTTTGATCCCACATCCTAACGACTGCCCTCTTTCTCTGCTCCTGTGAAAAAGTAAAACCTCATCAAAAGACCTGTCAACAGTTGCTGCTTTCATTTTGTCACGTCTGGTAGCTGATTAATGATGGCCACAAATACTTTGACACTCCGCCCATTGAGAAATGGGGTAGAGATGCCTCCCCTCAAGTCCACGCTGATCCCGTCAATGCTTTGATTTATCAAATATAGTGGTGCTATTTAGATTGGAGAAACAGCCTTAGATACCAGCAGCGTCCACCTCCTGTCACTTGGGACACTTGCTCTTTAACTTAAGCTTCCCTATAATAAATCTGACCACCCCACTGGAGTGTCCATGAGGAAGGCCCTGAACACGTGGAGAAGCTAAGCACCTTCTATTCATCTTTACAAAGGCAATAGAAATATGAGTGAAGCCTTCTTGGACACTCTGGACTAGTCCAGCCACCAACTCAATACCACTGAAGCACCCCAGTTGACACCACGTGGAGCAGAAAAATGGGTTTGCTAATCCCTGCCCCAATTCCTTACTCATTGTTTATTAGCATAAGAAAATGATTGGTTCAGCAACTAACCTCGGGGAATATCTCTAACCTCCCATTCTTTACTTAATCCACTTTAGTGCAGCTTGTGTTCCTTTCACTCATCTGTAAAGTTTGCTCTTACTAAATAATCCATATATCTATATTATCAAATCCAGTGGTTTGTTCTCTGCAGTAATTGTACTCAACTTGTAACAACACTGGGCACACAGGTCATCACTCCCTTTTTTAAAAAATACTTTCCTCTCTTGTATTCTGTGATCCCACATCTCCCAGTTTTACCTTGTTGGTCTTCTTTGCAGGGTCTTTCTGATGCTGACCTCTAAATGATGAAGCCCTAGGACTGGTTCTGAGACATTTTCTCCTTCTACAATCTCCTTTGAGGAGATCCCATCAATTCCAGTAGATTTAAATACCATCAGTCTGCTGAAGTTTTCAGTGTACACATTTAGCTCAAGCCTCTTACGGTAGCTTTAATAAATCATCCATAATCTCTGTCGCATGCCCCACCTCCAACAACTTTTGACATTATCCCATTTCTCCATTACTTATTGTTTCTGAAATCATCTTGTTATTTGTGATCTACTGCCGACTAATGGAATGGAAGCTCACTGAAGTGTGTCTGGTTTCACACTACGACCCCAAGGCATAGAAAAGAGCCTGGCCAAGAGTGATCACATATTAGACATTTAATGACTGGTTGGCTGGTGAACACTCACTTTGCTGCCTGGTTAACATCACCACTTGGATATCTCACAGTCTCTTTAAAATATGTTCAAAGCAAAACTCTTGATTCCCCCATCCCGAGAAGTTATATTTTCCAAATATAAATATTTTCCTGTAAAGGGCACCACTACCATCCAGTTTATCAAATCCAAAATCTAGGCATCTTCACCCATCCCTTTCTCTCACATCTTTTTGCACAAAATAAATCAGTCAGTCCCATGGGCTCCACTTCTGTATTAATTATCTGTTACCGCACAACAAATTAAGTCAAAACCTAGCAGTTAAAAACAACATTATTATCTCATAGTTTCTGTGAATCAAGAATCTAGACTTGTCACAGGTGATGGTTAAGCTTTAGGAACTTAAAAATCTGAGAACTGGATTTATAACATTCTGCTGAGTCATTCCTCCCCTGAGCAATGGAAACTATACCTTACTGTCCAAATCATTTATATGGGCTGAAAATTATTGTTTACCCTGCTACAAAATTTTGCATCCAAACTTTCATCTAACTGAGCAAAATTCACTAGAAAATAGAGTCCTCCCAACACCCCATTTCCAGGAGAGAGAGGAAAAATAAAACACCAACACTTCCCAATAAAAGTCACAGAAAGGGGAGGTGGTGGGGTGCTTGGGTATGCTGATTCCCATCAATGAGTGCTGAAGGTTGTCCTGGTGTTTGACCAAGAAAGGGACATTTTTATTCATTCCAATCAAACTAAGGTTGAGTTGATCCTTAGGACAGAACTTTAGGCCGGAACCATGTTATTTATTTCTGATTCCCTAGGGCCAAGTCCATGGGACATTGCTTAATAAATATTTATTGAATTAACCAGGAGAGCACGTTTAAACACTCAAAGGTAACACCCCTGAGGCTCTGTCTTATGATTCAAAGCTAAGCTGATTACAGTACTTCAGATTCAGATATCACTAGAGTCATCTCTCCTTATCTGTGGGGAATATGTTCCAAGACCCCCAGTGGACGCCCAGAGCTGTGGATAGTACCAAATCCTATACAAACTGTCCTATACATACGTTCCTACAGTGGGGGGCAAATGTAGGTTTACAGTTGTGAGTATGCAAAACACAGAGTTTATTCTTGTATTATTATTTCTTTATTATTGTGTTATTTATATTACAACTGCAAACCTACTTTTGCCTACCCCTGTATAATAAAGTTTAATTTATAAATTAGGTACAGTAAGAGATTAACAACAATAACTAAGAATAATGGTAGCAACACACTGTGGTAAAGGTTATGTGAATGGCTTTGGGCCATTGTTTGGTAAAATAAGTGTTCCTTGAACACAAGCACTGTGATTCCACGTGACAGTCAATTTGATATGGACAAGAAACATATACCGCATGAAGACACTGGACAGAGGGATGACTCATGGCCCAGGTGGCCAGGAACAGGTGGAGTGAGATTTCATCATGCCACTCAGAATAGAACACAATTTAAAACTTTTGTTTATTTCTGGAATAAAAAAATTTTTTTTTCTGTATTGATTTTAGAGAGAGAGGAAGGGAGAGGAAGAGAGAGAGAGAAACATCGATGAGCAAGAACATTACCTGGCCACCTCCTGCATGTCCCCTACTGGGGATTGGGCTCACAACCTGGGCATGTGCTACACCGGCTGGGCTATTTCTGGAATTTTTATTTAATATGTTTGGCTTGTGAATGACCACAGGTAACTGAAATCATGGAAAGTGAAACCATGGATAAGAGGGGGACAATTATACAAATAAAGACGTATACAAAGGAAGAGATCAGCCCTGCTGGTCCGAAGTGAGGCCTCTCTCTGTCAGATTTCCCAGAACCGGATTTCCTGTGTCGTTTTAGGGAGAATGTAAGTTTGAGAAGGTCTTTGGGGAGTCTCATGATGCCAGTTCTTGCTTTTATGCATGGGCTGGGCATGTGATCAGCAGTTTGTGCCTAGCACAGTTGGCAGAAGCGAAGGGGAATTGTAAATATTTGAACATTAGCTTTTCTGACCTGGACTGCCGGAGGCTCAGAACATGACAGTTGTAGGAGGTGATATTGCCACATAGTTACCAAGGAGTCCTAGATGAGCTGGACTCCTCACTCTCCACATCTTACTGCAGAAAGAACATTGGGCTGCTAGACAAAAAGAGCTGAGAGCCTGGGCTTATCGTTGGACTGCCACTATCTTCACTTGCAAGCTGGTGAATCTTATGGAATCTCTCTGATTCTTTAATTCCGTCCATCAGAAAAGCCAGACACACTTCTGTTGATGTTTGTGATTTATTTGCAGCCCCACTTATCATAGCATTTGGGGTTTACTTTTACCGAACTTGCCGACTCTTTGGATTATCTGGAGTCTAGAACACACAGTAGAGCTCTGTGAAATACGGTGCCTATGAGAAGTTTCCTGTCGTGCACAATAGCCACAGAGCTGCCCTGAAGCACAGAGCCACTATTGGCATATTCAGTGATGATCCTGGGCTTCTCAGACAGGACATTCAGGATGCGAAGTACCTGCCAAAAAAAAGATTGCTTATTAGTGCACGGGATGAGCGAACAGCTGTCAATGACGTTTTCCTTCCCAAATATTCCAGGACTAATATATTTCTCAGAAATCAATAAGCTAAAATGTGTTGATCATCAATCATTTTCTTCTTCTGATGATGAAAGTATTAATGCCCTAATGATATCTATGCAGTCAGGTGGACTAGTCATCTGACATTAGCCATATCTCTCAACAGAAACACAGGATGAAGTGAAAAAAAGATATCTAGTGTGGCAAGTCAACCAACGTCATAACCAGTAGGATGGTAGTTGTCACTGCTGGAGTCCCCTTATATTGGAGAAGTAGCTAGGAAGAATAAAGAAGCATACTTTTCAGAAAATAGTGGAGGATGGCAGCGGACAGGACCGGAGAGAGGGTAGGTGTGTGAGAGAGTGTGAGTGGACGTGAAGGTGGAGGACCACACCCAAGCAGTGCAGAGCTGCAGAGCAGAAGGTTTCTGTGCTGTAGATGGAGCAGCAACCTACCATGGTGAGCGGCCCTTCAGGGACCTTCTCCCTGCACCACGGGGAGGTCCCACCATTTTGGAAGATCCCGGGTCTTCCCTGGGAGGAGGCAGTGGGAGCTGCCAGGGCCCAGCAACCTGAGCCCAACAGCACACCTGGCACCATCGGACAAGTGGGCAGTCTGTGTCAACACAGACCAGTGCACAGTAGTGGAGCTCCCAAGGTGCTGGTCATTGAAGCCGCAGACAGCCCGGAGCCCAGCACCATCCCCCATAGTAGCAGTCTGATGAGAGTCCAGATATACCCCCAGGAACAGAGGCTGGGGAACAGACATCCATCCCCAGGCAACAGAAGCACAGACCAGCAGCTGAGACCCATCTCCCAAAATTACAGCAAAAGCTGAGCAGGAGTTGAGCCCCATGGGGCAGCAGAACTCCCCAGCCGCCAGCAGTGGTACCTGGGGCTCCACACAGGTCTGTGCACTCCAGCAGCCCACAAGAGCAGTGGGAAGTCAGAGCCCTTGAGAGACTGGTGTGATCCAGCTGCCCGCCGAGGGACCTGCAGGGTGCAGGGACACCAGAGAGACCTGTGCTACCCAGCAGGGACTGGGCAATCCAGTTACCCACGGGACCTGCTGGGTGATGAAGTACCAGAGAGGCCTGTGCGACCCAGCAGCCCATAACATAGGCATAAAGCCCTGTCCCCAAAGGGACTGTATGATCCAGTTACCCGCTGGACCTGTGCGACCCAGCTGCGCACAAGATAGGCAATGAGGATGTGAAAATGGAGGCAGAGTGAATAGAAGTTATGCAGACAATCTCCCAGGACCAAATGGGAATTACAACTAAAATAAAGACAAATCCTCTGAAAAAAGCAACAGAAAAGCAGTAGGACAGGACCATACAACCAGGGACACTGGTAGGATATGCAGAGGCGCGAGAGGGTGGTGGGATGGGAGCCCAGGGACAGCAGCAGTCTTAGCTGTGAGCAGCTTCCTTGGGGAATAAAGACCAAACCGACTCTACAGCACAGAGAGCCAGGACAGAGCTCTAAAATAGCCACAGCCACTCAGATGGGGGCTACCGCAAAGGGAGGGCAGACTGCATTGGAACTCTGAGGGGACACCCAGGATTTGAAGGGCACTCAGAGTTTTTGCTGGGTTGTAGCCACAAAGGACGGTGGCCAGTGTGCTCCTTCCCAGAGCTGTGGGGGAAAGCAGTAGCCCCACCCCCTTGGAGTGTTAGCCTTTCCCAAGTGAGGCAAATAAATGTAAATTAATACTCATTAACAACCAGCCTCTATCCCACCCACTGGAAATCCTCTTACGCAAAACACCAGGGCTATATTCCAGGACACTGAGTAACTGAGACTACTAGCCACCAGGAAGAAGCTACAGGATAACTGAACTTTTCCTGGGCTTGCAAATCTACTCAGGAAAGTAAGACTTGACAGTGGTGTTTAATGTGGGTCCACCCAGGCTCATCCAAACCCAGTAAAGGGAACCACAAACAGCAGAACACCAACACCCACAGGGAAAATTTGGAAGGTTCCAAAACCCACTGAGATAGCCAAAATGGAGAAACAAAGAAACAAATCCCAAATGAAGAACAAGAGAACTCTATCAAAGATGAAATAAATGAAATGCAGCTAAGCAAATTATCAGAGGTAGAGCTCAGAGCCATGATTGTAAGGAAGCTCAACAGCATGAGTAAGACATCAGCATCATGAGTAAAGATATAGAAACATTAAAAACCAACCAAGTGGACATGAAGAATGACATAGCAGAAATTAAGAACACATTGGAAGCACTAACCAGCAGAATAGAGGAGGCTGAGGACCGGATCAGTGAATTAGAAGACAGGGTAGAAAAAAATCAATCAATCAGAAAACCAAAAGGAAAAAACAATTAAAAAACAGGAAGACAGCTTAAGAGAACTGTGGGACAACTGGAAACGTAATAACATTCGCATCATAGGAGTCCCTGAAGAGGAAGAAAATGGGCAACTTGGTGAAGGAAGAAGGCATTCAAGTTCAAGAAGCAGAGAGAGCCCCAAGTAAGAAGAACCCGAACAGGCCCACACCAAGACACATAGTAATTAAAATGCCAAAAATTAAAGACAAACAAAGAATCCTAAAGGCAGCAAGAGATAAGCAACAGGTTACCTACAGAGGAAACTCCATAAGGCTCTCAGCTGACTTCTCAACAGAAACAATACAGGTCAGAAGGGAGTGGCATGAAGTAATCAAGGTCATGAAAAACAAGGATCTGAATGTAAGATTACTCTATCCAGGAAGGCTATGATTAAAAATGGCCAGTTTGGCTCCGCAGTTAGAACATTGTCCTGCGGTCCTCAGAGACCCGGGTTTGGTTCCCACTAAGGGCGCATACCTCAGTTGCAGTTTGTCCCAGGGCCTGGTTGGTCGTGCGGGTGGCAGCCACTCGATGTGTCCCTTTCATGTCGATGTTTCTCTCTCGCTCTCTCTTCCTCTCTCTCCCTCCCCCTCTATCTGAACAAAAATTGGAGAAATGTCCTCAGGTGAGGATAAAAAATAACGAAAAAACAAAATAGAGGATCAAATAAAGAGCTTTCCAGACAAAAAAAAGGCTAAGGGAATACATTAACATCAAACCAGAACTGCAAGTTATGCTAAAAAGACTGCTGTAATTAATAGAAGAAATTGGAAGAAAAATAGAACCACACTAAATAAAAATGGCAATAAATAAGTACATATCAATAATCACCTTAAATGTGAATGGTTTGAATGCTCCAATAAAAAGACACACAGTCGCTGACTGGATAAGAAACCATGATTCACATATATGTTGTTTACAAGAAACCCACCTGACAACAAAAGACTCACATAGGTTGACAGTGAAGGGATGGGAAAAAATCTTCCAAGCAAACGGAAAGGAAAAAAAAAAGCGAGGGTAGCAATACTTACATCTGATAAAATAGATTTCAAAATAAAGGCCATAACTAGAGACAAAGAAGGCCAGTACATAATATTGAAAGGATCTACCCAACAAGAAGATATAACCTTGGTAAACATATATGCACCCAATATAGGAGCACCAACATATATTAAAAATCTTCGGGAGGGCTTCAAAGGAGAAATCTACAGCAATACAATCATAGCAGGAGACTTCAACACACCACTGACATCACTGGATAGATCTTCTAGACAAAAAATTAACAAGAAAACACAGACACTAAATAAAGTGCTAGATCAAATGGATTTAATAGATATCTACAGAGAATTACACTCCACAACTGCAGAATTCACATTCTTCTCAAGTGCACATGGAACATTCTCAAAGATAGACCACATGTTAGGGCACAAACTAAGTCTCTACAGGTTCAAGAAGATTGAAATCATATCAAGTATCTGCTCAGATCACAGTGGCATGAAACTAAAAATCAATTGCAACAAGAATATGCAGACATTTGAAAACATGGAGGCTAAATAGCATGTTATTGAACAATGAACGGGTTACCATGGAGATCAAGGAAGAAATTAAAAACTTTCTGGAAACCAATGAAAATGAACAACAACAACACAAAATCTATATGATGCAGTGAAAGCAGTTCTGAGAGGGAAGTTCAGAGCACTACAGGCCTACCTCAAGAAACAAGAAAAATTTTTATAGACTATCTAACCTCAAAACTTAAAGAACTAGAAAACAAACAAAAAGAAAACCCCAGAGCAAGTAGAAGAAAGGAAATAATAAAGATCAGAGCAGAAATAAATGACATGGAGACCAAAAAAACCAATTCAAGGATCAATGAAACAAAGAGCTGGTTCTTTAAAAAGATAAACAAGATTAATGGACCCTAAACTAGACTCACCAAGAAACAAAGAGAGAGAACCCAAATACACAAAATAAGAAATGAAATAGGAGAAATAATAACAGACCCCACAGAAATACAAAGGATTGTGAACAAATATTATGAACAACTATACGGCAATAAATTCAACAATCTAAGCAAAAATTGACAAATTTCTTCAAACATATAGTCTCCCAAAACAGGACTAGGAAGAGATAGAAAATTTGAACAAACCAATAACAACTAAGGAAATTGAAATGGTAATCAAAACTCTCCCAGCAAACAAAAGCCCAGGCCAGGATGGCTTCATGGGAGAATTTTACTGAACATTTAAAGAAGAACTAATACCCATTCTCCTCATACTATTTCAAAAAATTCAAGAAGAAGGAAGACTTTAAAACTCATTTTATAGGCCAGCATAATTCTAATTCCAAAACCAGAAAAAGAAACAAAACTACAGGCCAATATCCCTGATGAACATAGATGCCAAAATCCTGATCAAAATACTAGCAAATCGGATCCAGCAATACATCAAAAAAATTATTCATCATGACCAAGTGGGATTCATGCAAGGGATGCAAGGCTGGTACAATATTCACAAATCAATAAATGTGATACACCACATAAACAAAATAAAAAATAAAAATCTTATGATCATATCAATAGATGCTGAAAAAGCATTCGACAAAATCCAGCACCCATTTCTGATAAAAATGCTCAGCAATGTGGGAATAGAGGGATCATATCTCGACATAATAAAGGCCGTATATGAAAGACCTACAACCAACATCATACTCAATGGGCAAAAATTAAAAGCATTTCCTTTAAGAACAGGAACAAAACAAGGAAGCTCACTTTCACCAATCTTATTTAACATAGTACTGGAAGTCTTAGCCACAGCAATCAGATAGGAGAAAAAATAAAAGGGATCCAAATGGGAAAGGAGGAAGTGAAACTATCATTATTCACAGATGAATGATACTATACATAGAAAACCCCAAGGACTCCATCAAAAATCTACTAGACTTAATAAATAAATTTGGCAAAGTAGCAGGATATAAAATTAACGTCAAGAAATTGATAGCATTCTTATGCACCAATAATGAACTTACAGAAAGAGAAACTAAAAAATCAATCCCATTTACCATCACAGCAAAAAAAATTAAGATACCTAGGAATAAACTTAACCAAAGAAGTAAAGGACCTATTTGCAGAAAACTACAGGTCATTGAGAAAAGAAATAGAGGAAGATATAAAAAAGTGGAAGCACATACCTTGTTCATGGATTGGAAGAATTAAGATCATTAAAATATCTGTACTATCCAAAGCAATCTATACATTCAATGCAATCCCCATCAAAATATCAACAACATACTTCACAGAACTAGAACAAATACTTCAGAAGTTCATATGGAACCAAAAAAGACCCCGAATAGCCACAGCAATCTTGAAAAAGAAGTACAAAGTTGGAAGGAACACATTACTAGATTTCTGGTTATAAATCTGTAAAGCCACTGTAATCACAACAGCCTGGTACTGGCACAAGAACAGGCATATAGGCCAGTGGAACAGAACAGAGAACCCCGAAATGGGACCCAAGAAAATATGCTTAATTAATTTTTTTTGTTTTGTTTTGTTTTGTTTTTAATCCTCATCCGAGGACATTTTTCCATTTTTTGTACAGACAGTGTGGGAAGGAGAGAGAGGAAGAGAGAGAGAGGGAAACATCGATGTGAAAGGGACACATCGAGTGGCTGCCACCCGCACGACCAACCAGGGCCGGGGACAAACTGCAACCGAGGTACATGCCCTTAGCGGGAACCAAACCCGGGTCTCTCCGGACCGCAGGTGGACGCTCTAACCGCTGAGCCAAACCGGCCAGGGCTGCTTAATTAATTTTTTTTTTTTTTTATCCTCACCAGAGGACATTTTTCCATTTTTTGTTCAGGTAGAGTGGGAGGGAGAGAGAGGAACAGAGAGAGAGAGAGAAACATCGATGTGAAAGGAACACATCGAGTGGCTGCCACCCGCACAACCGACCAGGGCCGGGGACAAACTGCAACCGAGGTATGTGCCCTTAGCGGGAACCGAACCCGGGTCTCTCAGGACCGCAGGCCGACGCTCTAACCGCTGAGCCAAACCGGCCAGGGCTGCTTAATTAATTTTTGACGAAGGGGACAAGAGCATACAATGGAGTAAAGACAGCCTCTTTAATAAATGGTGTTGGAAAAATTGGACAGCTACATGCAAAAAAATGAAACTAGACCATCAACTTACACCATACACAAGAATAAACTCAAAATGGATAAAAGTCTTAAATGTGACTCATGGATCCATAAAAATCCTAGAAGAAAATGTAAGCAACAAAATTTTGGACATTATATGCAGCAGAATTATCACTGATACATCACCTAAGGCAACACAAACAAAGGAGAAAATGAACACATGGGACTACATCAAACTAAAAAGCTTCTGCACAGCAAAAGAAACAACCATCAAAATGGAAAGGCAACCCACTATATGAGAGAGCATAATTGCCAATGATACATTAGATAAGGGGTTAATTTCCAATATATAGAGAGTTCATACAACTCAACAAAAGGAAGACCAAGAACCCAATTTAAAAATGGGCAGAGGAACTAAATAGACACCTCTCCAAACAGGACATACAAATGGCTAAGAGACATATGAAGAAATTCTCAACATCACTAATCATCAGAGAGATGCCAATGAAAATAACAATGAGGTATCACCTCACACCTGTCAGAATGTCTGCTATCAACAAATCATCAAACAACAAGTGTTGACGAAGGTGTGAAGAAAAGGGGACTCTAGTACACTGCTGGTGGGAATGCAGACTGGTGCAGCCAGTATGGAAAACAATATGGTGTTATCTCAAAAAATTAAAAATTGAACACCATTTGACCCAGTGATCTCACTTCTAGGAATATATCCTAAGAAGCCTGAAACACCAATCAGAAAGAATATATGTACCCCCATGTTCGTAGCAGTACTTTTTACAATAGCTAAAATCTAGAAACAGCACAAATTTCCATCAGTAGATGAATGGGTAAAAAAGCAGTGGTACATATACACAATGGAGTACTATGCAGCTGTAAGAAAGAAAGATCTCTTATCCTTTGAGACTACATGGAGGGACCTGGAAAGTATTATCCTAAGCGAAACAAGCCAAAAGAGAAAGACAAGTATCATATGATCTCACTTATTTGTGGAATATAATGAACATAACAGTCTGAGGAATGGGGTAGTCCCAGAGATGTGGAAGTGGGGAACAGACTGACAATCCCCAGAAGAGGGGGTGGTGGGGGAGAGATAAACCACAGAAGTTATATGCATGTATGCATGAACAATGGACACGGACAACAAAACTGTGGACAGGGCAGGCAGGGGCAGGGAGGGGGGAATCAGAGGTGGATGAAGAAAAACATCTGTAACAAAAATAAATAAATTAATTTTTAAAAAAAGAATGCATACTTTGAAGAATTCAATCTGACACATCACTGCTTCATACTATTATTGATCCCCAGGGTTAACATACTTTAGGTTGCCAAGCAGTATATATAATGCTCAGGTTTCCAAATAGCCTGGATAAGTTCAGTCAAAAAGGACAGGATAAAAATTAAAGAAAACCAATTTGCAATTCATGAGTTATGAGTCTATATCAACATCTCTTAGAATAGTTGTTTTGGCTTTTTATTTTAAGGGAAATCCTACAACTTCATCTCAAGTTTGTTACAGGAAAATACTCAAACTTGGAACTCGTGTAGAAAACATTATCTTCAAGCAAAAGGAAAGGGTGTCAGTGATTGTGAAGAAAAAAATTCTCATCTAAATTAAACAAATGAGTCCCAGCCAGTGTGGCTCAGTTGGTTGGGCATCATCCAATGCACTGAAAGGTTGCTCGTTCGATTCCTGGTCAGGGCACATGCCCGAGTTGTGGGCTTGATCCCCAGTAGGGGTTATTCAGGGGGCAGCCGATCAATGTTCCACTCTCAAAATCAATCTTTCTCTCTCTCCCTCTCTCTTTCTAAAAATCAATGAAAATAAAAAAGAAAATGTTTAAAATAAACAAATGATTAAACTTGAAAATAGAGACATGGAAAAGATTCTAAACAATTTTCAAATCATTGTATAGACCACATTTCCATTCTCTTAAAGCAGACATTGTTGGGGGTTTGTAATATAGTTATATTATCACTTTTGGAGCAACATATCTGAGGCAAGGGTCTCTTGCTAGCTTAGGGTATCAATTCTTCAGGCTTTAGGTTCAGGCTGGACTTTGGTTTCCTTTTAAATTTCTTGCTGGTTTTTTTTTTTTTTTTTAAAGAATCTGTGACTAATATGTTAATAAGAGAAACAATTATTTTTTAAAAACCAAAGAACAGTAATTTTGGAAGCAGAAATAACTACATGTTCTAATTTACCCATCAGCCAATTACAAGCTAGGGTTTGACTCTCAATTTCCCAACTCCCCAAACCTACATTCAAACATTATATCTTCCTTCAAACCTTACTATCTCATTGAGACCTACACTGATCTCTGTATTTAATAGTAGGACTTACCCTTCCCTGGTTACAGTAATTCTGATCCTGTTTACTCTATTGTACTTTTTTCCCATAGAACTTACCATCTTCAAACTTACTATATAGTTCACTATTTAGTTCCCCCTCCCCAAGAGCAAGGATCGTGGCATATTTTGTTTGCTGATATATCCTAAGTATGAGTTTGTTATACTGTAAGTGCTCAATAAATTTTTGTGACTAAAAATCTCAGATCATGCCTGCCAAGAATTTATATCTATATTTAAATTCACATGAGATGTTTTAAATTTGTAAACTCAATGCTAAAGAAAATGCAATGCCATATAAAATTCTATGGTGTATGCTATTGTTTTAGAAGAGATATTAAATAATACAACCTCTGTAGCATGAGCCATTCTTTAACATGATCATCTATGTTAGAACCTGGTGGCGAATATTCATTTTGTTTGGAGACTGCAGTCATTGAAACCCTTTCATTTGAACTTCATGTTTGGTAGTATGAAAGAAGGTGGTTCCATACATGACTCTCCCTTTGCCTAACTTCAGGACCTGCTCTGAGCCTACATCCTGATTAGAAATATGAATAGCAATCTGGGCCAACATGAATAATCAAGCTTATATTTTCCAGTTATTCCCAGTGGCTAGTATAGCCCTTGCTAGGATGGGGCGTTGTCTCGCACCAATGGTAAATTGGTACATGGTAATCTGAAAAAGTTAATAGGCCATATCTCCTCATTCTAACAAAATCTTTACTCTTTCCATATGTACATATGTTCAGGTCTGGAACATTACATTTGACCCACTGAATTCTCCCAAGTTACCTCAACAAATTGTCTTAGGCTTTGCCTGTGAGCTTGGAGAAGTATAGAAACTTACTTCTGAGCCTGGAGGATCCTCAGGGTCATAGATGAACAACTTCATGGCATTAGGATGGCATCCTGCCAAAATATCTCCCGTGTCAGGGTCGACAGTTAAGTTATCCACTATGGTGTCCAACTGGATTGCCTTTCAACAGAGAGGAAGTCGTGAATATGATTTGACTTTCGCCCTTACGCTCACACCCTCGCACCAATGTCTTTTGGTTCCTGAAATTAGTTTTTTGTTTCTTTTTTAATTTAATTTTTTTGTTGTTGTTTTTTATTGATTTTAGAGAGAGGGGGCAAGGGAAAGGTAGAGAGAGACAGAAACATCGATGAGAGAAAACATCGATTGGCTGCCTCTTGCGTGTGCCTATTGGGGATCTGGCCCACAACCTGGTCATGTGACCTGACAGGGAATCAAACTGGTGACCTCTTGGCGCATGAGTCAACGCTCAGCCACTGAGCCACACCGGCCGGGTGTGAAATTAGTATTTTTAACGGGCTTTGTTACTGATTTTTAGAAGTGAAAGTACACTCTCGCCATTATTTTTTAAATAATGTTTCCTTCATTCAAGGAGCACATTTCTAGGTCAAGCATGGGAGCTAATGTAAGATGCCATGTTGTGTGGGAAAGCTGGGATACTGTTACCTTCAGTTGAGTTAAATCCCAGTTATCGTGAATTTTCATTACATGAATGGTCTTATCCATTGCGTCAGCCATATAGATGTACCTTTGAGGTAAATCACATTGACATTTAAGCTAGTAGTATTAAGAGATGACACTAATTTTAATTTTGAAGAAAATACATGGAAATTCACAATAGCCAAGGTACTACTGCAATGCCTTTATAAACCACAGCTAAATACGAGAACAGAGTGGTATTTTTAATATTCTTGAAGTGCTTTATATAAGCTTTGAGTGTGAGATATGACTAGAAAGTAATTACATTGGTGTTTCTACATGACATATAGGCTTAATCTCATTACTTGGGAGTCTTTAAATTGAATGTCTTTAAATTGAATGGAGGTAAGTGGACCTTTAAATTGAATGGACGTAAGTGGACCTCTTCTAAGATAAAAAGATACTTCCAAAAACTAGTGCTTGGAAAGAAGAATCACATGACCATGAAGCTCAATCACAATCATTTCTAAAAAGAGGAAGAACACTTGGAGTTGTTTTTCTCAGGAATTATCTCTATTCATTATCTCAAATTTATATATCAATATTCATGGTACTCTTCCTTTTATAAAACCTCCCATTTTAAAACATTTTAAGAGGTTTCAACAAAACTGCATGCTTCATAAAAAGTGTGTTCTCACAGAAAATTCAGCTGCAGAGAATCAGTAAGTCTGAAGCCTCTACAATTGCAATGCCCCATCTAAGTTGGGCCTCCCTCTCTAATAAGAACTTTTGGGTAACTGAACATAGTATAAGTGGTTAAAGGCCTTTCAGCCTCATAAGAATCAGAGGAATTGTGCCTTTATTCTCCTTTTTAGTGTGTTAGGCAGGTGTGCTTCTAGAGTCACATAAGAAAATTGGAACAAGAACTTTATATCCTTGAGTTCAAATGCCTCATTTCAGTGTTGGGGGTCGGGGGTGGAGAAGGGGGAAGCTAGGGAACCTAAAGTGCAACAAGGTAAATGGTTTGCTCAAAATCATGCATTTAGTATAAATTCTGGCCACATCTGATCCCTCCACACACATATTGACTACTTAAGCTAGGAAGTAAACCCCCTCCTACAGGAAGGAGTCCACTAAAATGTCAAGGCCAAAGGGTAGAAAAATTATAAATGAGCTTACTTACTTTTTGTCTAGTGAGATTGTGATCCCATTGGCAAATCTAAATCCTTTGGCCACCACTTTGACCTCTCTTGGGCTATAGAAAAGAATATGAGTCCACTTAAGGCCCAAGATCACCTCCAATTGTGATAAGAAAAAGTTGGTAAAATAGTGGTCTCTGGTGGCGTAGAACTGTTCTGGTCCAAGAACCACAATGTCATTCACACTAAAGTGGAGAGAGAGAAAGAGAGGGAGAGAGAGAGGTATGAAGTATTTTAAAATAGTGATTGTTGTCAAAATCACCAAATCTCTACAAAGACCAATATATTCATTAATTTGAAGAAGTATATATGAAGTAGTATGACTTATTTTTATTTATTCATTTAAACTTATCTTTATGGTTGAAAGTATTTCAGATGTCCCCCCATATTTTTTCCACTGACCCCCTCCTCCCTACTCCCACCCTCCCCCTGCATTCCCCACACTATTGTCTGTGTCCATTAGTTATGCATACAAGTTGTTTGGTTTATCTCTTCCCACCCCACCTCCCCTCTTCCCTTTGAGGTTCGTCAGTCTAACAGTCAATTTGTACATCTTAATCCCTTCATCTTTTTTGCTCATCCCCTCAACCCCCTCCCATTTGGCAACCAGCACAAAGTTCTCTCTATCTACGAGTCTGTTTCTGTTCTGCTTGTTTATTTTGTTTGCAGATTCAATTGTTGATAGATATGTATTTATTGCCATTTTATTGTTCATATTTTTTATCTTCTTCTTCTTCAAGAAGACCCTTCAGCATTTCATATAATACTGGTTTGATGGTGATGAACTCCTTTAGCTTTTTCTTGTCTGGAAAACTCTTTGTAATGCCATGGATTCTAAATGATAGCTTTGCAGGGTAGAGTAATCTTGGTTGTAGGTCCTTGCTTTTATCACTTTGAATATTTCTTGCCAATCCCATTGGCCTACAAAGTTTCTTTTGAGAAATCAGCTGACAGTCTTATGGGAACTCCCTTGTAGGTAACTAACTGCTTTTCTCTTGCTGCTTTTAAGATTCTCTCTTTGTCTTTAACCTTTTACATTTTGATGATAATGTGTCTTGGTGTGGGCCTCTTGGGGTTCGTCTTGTTTGGGATTATCTGTGCTTCCTGGACTTGTATGTCTTTTCCTTTACCAAGTCAAGGAAGTTTTCTGTCATTATTTTTTCAAATAGGTTTTCAATTTCTTGTTCTCTCTCTTCTCCTTCTGGCACCGCCATGATGTGAATAATGGTATGCTTGAAGTTTTCCCATAGGCTCCTTACATTATCCTCATTTTCTTGGATTCTTTTTCTTTCTGCTGTTCTGATTGGGTGTTTTTTGCTTCCTCATATTCTAAATTGATGATTTGCTTCTGGACTTTACCTATTCTACTATTGATTCCCTGTAAATTATTCTTCATTTCAATTAGCACATCTTTTATTTCTGACTGGTCCTTTTTTATGCCTTTGAGGTCCTCACTAAGTTCCTGGAGTTTTGTTCTGTTCTTTCATTTGGGATGTTTCTTTGTCTCCTCATTTTGGCTGCCTCCCTGTGTTTGTTTCTACGTATTAGGTAGAGTTGCTATGTCTCTGAGACTTTGTAGGGTGGCCTATTATAGTAAGTGTCCTATAAGGTCCAGTGGCACAGCCTCCCTGATTACCCCAGCTGGGCTCTCAAGGTGCAGCCCTTGTGTGGACTGTCCACCCTTCTGTTGTAATTGAGTCTTGATTGCTGTTGGCATGTCAGTGGGAGAGAATTACTTAGGCTGACCAGCTGCAAGGACTGGCTATGCCCACTGATCACTTACCTCTGACTACCTTGGAGGATCAGCTGTGTGGGCACCCACCACACAGAGCAAGACTTAACTTCAGCAGGGCTCTGGTACCCACTGAGTTTACTACTTGAGTGTGTGGCTCGTGGAGGTGGTTGGGTAATGATACTTCACTGTGGTCTGAAGCTGTCCACTGGGTGTACTGGCTCTGGGACTAGGTCAGTCACTGTCTGTGTTCTACCCAGGGTCACCAGGCATAAGCTACAAAGTAATCTGCAGATGGCTGCTTCTTGTGCTGGGCTTGGAGGTGCCCAGGCAAAGCCAAGCTGTGAACCAAGGCTGGCTGCTTCTAGTGCCGGACCTGGGGCCACTTAGCAAGAGGCGTGGGGCTTGCTGAGGCCAGATGCTGCTTGTTTGAGAGAATTTAGGAAAATTTGAAGCAGGAGCCAAGACAGGCCAATCCTATGGTAAAGACACTGGAACAGCTTGGGTGGGCCTGAAAATTGGATGGGGCAGGGCCTCAGGGAATCACCAGGGTGGGGCAAACTGTGAGCTATGTTGCTCTTGCCTAGACTCCAAACAAATGTGTGCTTCCCCTATGTCTCAGGTGCCTTTCAAGCTGCCTCCCCAATGCTGGAGACCAGAGGGAGCGAGTCTGAGTAATCCGTGTGCAGGCCTCTTAAGAGAAGCTGCCTGGGACTCCAGCCGCCTCAGCCTCAGTTCCCTGTGGTTTTTTCAGCCAGAAGTTATGGGGACTTTTCTTCCTGGCACTAGAACCCTGAGCTGGGCGCCTGGTGTGAGACGGGAACCCCTCCTCAGGGAAGACCTTCCCAGCAAGGTGTCCTCCTGGTTTTTATCCGCCACACGTGGGTGTGGGACCAGCCCGTCCGCCTCCGCCCCTCCTACCAGTCTCAATGTGGATGCTTCTTTAATTTCGTAGTTGTAAGACTTCCATTCATCCCAACTTCAGGCAGCTCTGAAGGATGGTTTTTCTATAGTTTAGTTGTAATTTTCCTGTGGTTGTGGGTGGAGGCGAGAACCACGTTTACCTGCGCCTCTGTCCTGACCAGGAGTCTCGAACTAGTATGACTTTTAAAATCCACAGAAAGTACATTATTTTTCCTTGCCCTAATTTTTTTTTTTTTTAGGCATCTGTTGTTTTCTCACTCTTCCCCTCTGAAAAAGTCAGCAGAAAGAAATAAGTATACAAATAAGTGTCAAATTCCAAAATTTTTGACTTGTAGATGTATATAGTAGTTAGTTATCTTAGGCAGTTGTGGTACAGTTCACCAATAGTACTGGTTCTCCTCTTTCTGAAATTAGGCTTGTCCAATCCCCTTGATATTAGGTATGGCCACACAGCTTGCTTTGGCCAATGAAATAAAGTGATGTGTGTGGCTTTTGGTTGGAAAACTTTAAGAATCAATTCATGACCCACCAGGCTTCCCCTACTCTGGCACAGTAACCAGCAACTTACCTGATGACACATAGTGTAGTCCTCCTGGGGTCCTACATGAGAATAATATAGAACTGAGTCCCTGTACCACCTACGTTAGAGGCATAGCATGAGTGAGAAGACAAAACACAACTTTGTGGTTTTAAACCACTAAAGACAATATGGTTTTTCTTTTCTGCTATTGTAGCATAACCCAGTCCATCCTGGTCTTTATCTTTTTTCTGAGCAGGTGAAATTACTATTTTTTCTTGTTTATGTTCTTTAATACCATTATATATTTTTTGTTAATGTCTAAACAGAGACTTTCTTTGTTTTTTAATTTTTAAAAAAATTTTATTGTTGAATGTATTATAGATGTTCCTCACTTTTCCCCCATTGACCCCCTCCTCCCCACTCCTGCCCCCCTCCTGCCTTTTCTCCACACAGTTGTCTGTGTCCATTGGTTATGCATACAAGTTTTTTGGTTTATTTCTTCCCACTCCCCAACCCCTTTTCCTTTGAGGTTTGTCAGTCTAGCAACCAATTTGTACTTCTTAATCCCTTCACCTTTTTCATCCATTCCCCCAAACCTCCTCCCATCTGGCAACCAACAAAATGTTCTCTGTATCTCATAAGAATGTTTCTGTTCTGTGCCTGTTCATTTTGTTTATAGATTCAATTGTTGATAGATACATATTCATTGCCATTTTGTTTGTTCACATATTTTATCTTTTTTTTTCAAAAAGACCCTTCATTATTTCATATAATAACGGTTTGGTGGTGATGAACTCCTTTAACTTTTTCTTGTCTGGGAAACTCTTTATATGGCCATCGATTCTAAACGACAGCTTTGCAGGATAGAATAATCTTGGTTGTAGGTTCTTGCTTTTCATCACTCTGAATGTTTCTTGTCGCTCCGTTCTGACCTGCAAAGTTTCTTTTGAGAAATCAGCTAACAGTCTCATGGGAACTCCCTTGTAGGTAATTAATTGCTTTTCTCTTGCTGCTTGTAAGATTCTGTCTTTGTCTTGAACCTGTTGCATTTTGATGATGATGTGTCTTGGTGTGGGCCTCTTTGGGTTCATCTTGTTTGGGACTCCTTGTGCTTCCTGGACTTGTATGTCTGTTTCCTTCACCAAGTTAGGGAAGTTTTCTGCCATTATTGTTTCAAACAGGTTTTCAATTTCTTGTTCTCTCTCTTCTCCTTCTGGCACCCCCAAGATGCAAATATTGGCATGCTTGAAGTTGTCCTAGAGGATCCTTACACTATCCTCATTTTTTAAAATTCTTTTTTCTTTCTGCTGTTCGGATTGGGTGTGTTTTGCTTCCTTATGTTCCAAATTGATGGTTTGCTTCTTGGCTTTACCTACTCTACTATTGAATCTGTGTAAATTATTCTTTATTTCAGTTCTTTTTTGATTGTGCATCCTTCATTTCTGACTGGTCCTTTTTTATGCTCTTGAGGCCCTCACTAAGTTCGCTGAGATTCTCACTAAGTTCATTGAGCATCCTTATAAGCAGTATTTTGAACTCAGCATCTGTTAGGTTGCTTATCTCTATTTTGCTTAGTTCTTTCCCTGGGGTTTTGTTCTGTTGTTTCATTTGTAACCTGTTTCTTTGTCTCCTCATTTTGGCTGCCTCCTTGTGTTGGTTTCTGTGTATTATTTAACGAGAGGTATGGGGCAGAAACCAGATGCTGCTTATTTGAAAGAATTTAGGAAAACCTAAAGCAGGATCCAAGACAGGCCAATCCTATAGTTAACCAACTGGCAACAGCTTGGGTGGGCCTGAAAGTTGGGTGGGCCTGAAAGTTGGGTGGGGCAAGCCTCAGGGAGTCACCAGGGCGGGGCTACCAGTGTGAGCCAGGTTGCTGGAGTCCCAGATATGGCGACTATCTCCTGCCCCCGGGAAGGGCTCACCAAATGAACAAAGGCCTCTGACAGCACGTTTGTCCCGGAGAAAGCCCCCTCTCCAGCCCTCGCTCCAGTGCCAAACAGCTCAGTTCTTCCCTGTATGTCTCTGGCGCCCCTTGAGCTGCCTCCCCTCCAAGCTTAGAGGGAGAGAGTCTGATAAGTCCGTGCGCGGGCCCTTTAAGGAGCTGCCTGGGGCTCCAGCCACCTCAGTTTCCCTGAGCCTCAGTTCCCGCTGGTTTTTCCAGCCAGAAGTTATGGGGATTCTCTTCCTGGCACTGGAACCCTAAGCTGGGAGCGTGGTGTGGGGAGGGGACCCCTCAGTCCTCAGGGAGGACATTCCCAGCAAGATGTTCTCCTGATTTTTATCCGCCACACGTGGGTGTGGGACCAGCCCATCTCCTCCGCCCCTCCTACCAGTCTCATGTGGCTGCTGCTTTAATTCCGTAGCTGTAGGACTTCCATTCAGCTCGATTTCAAGTGGTTTTAAATGATGGTTGTTCTACAGTTTAGTTGTAATTTTGATGTGGTTGTGGGAGGACGCGATATCGCATTTACCTACGCTGCCATCTTGACCGGAAGTCCCCATTAAATTTTTCAATGCAGCAAGTCTTACTCTTACAACATTAAAAAAATGAAAGTCATTTTCATTTTGGAAAAGTAATAGAAGACAGTGAATGTGTTTTCATAGCAGTTTGTTCTACTCCTTAACATGTGTGAATCAGGGCACTTTTCAAGGTCCTCTTCAGATCCTCGAAGCGTCACCTGCCCTGTTCCAGCTGGCGCTACTTCACCCAGCTCTGCACTGGATCTGACAGCCTTGCCACAGTACAGCTCTATGGTGCTTTACCCCATGCCTGTGTAGGCCTCTTGCTCCCACTTTCAGGCTTCTGTGTTGACATCAAGACACAGGATATCACCAGGCATGACTTGCTCATGGACAGGAGTGAACACCTCTTGAGGCAAACCTTTGACCAGTGGGAGACAGGGCTAGTGGATATGCTCGTCTCCCTTTCTTACTGGCCAGAGTGTCCTTCTGTTGCTTATTCCATGCATTTAGCAGTGGCTGACTTGATACTGTACTTGCTATAGACTGTCCCCTGTGTGAGTTTCTAGAAGTGCTGCCATAACAAAGTACGACACACTGGGTGGCATAAAAGAACAGAACTCTATTGCCTACAGTTCTGGAGGCTAGAAGTCTGAAATCAAGGTGTTGACAGGGCTGTGCTCCCCCTGGAGGTTCTGTGGTAGGATCCTTCCTTGTCTTCCTGCTTCTAGAAGCCCCAGGTGATCCTTGGCTTGTAGAGGCATCACTCCAATCTCATGTGCCATCTTCGCATGGCGTTCTCCCTGTGTGTCTGTTTTCTTATAAGGACACCAGTGACATTAGATTAAAGCCCACCATCTACCAATGATCCTATTTCCAAATCAGGTAGTTTTCTGAAATATTGGGCTTAACATTGTAACATATCTTTTTGAGTTGAACAATTCAACTCACAATACCCCATCTTCCCTGCCTCAGGCTGGTCTCTCACTTTTGTGTCCTGGGATTGTACCCCCTAATCAAGTAGCGTGGTGTGGAGCTTTTCCTCAGGCTGCGATTTCTGAGGAACTCCTCCTGAGGTCCTCTCTTATTGCACTTGAGCCTCACAGTCACCAGTCAGGTGAGTTAGGCCAATAAGAGAATCCCTGTTCTGCAGAGGAACCGGAAACACAGGTTAAGTGATTTGTCCGGTTTCTCAGTCACTCCAGGGCAGTCCTGGTCCCCACTGTGCCTCAGCACAATGTGTCACAGGAAGAGTGTAGTAACTTCAACTCCTCTTATTTTCTCTGCCCTCTGTTTGTATGGCTCCCAGATTCTATGGAAGAAGTTCATCCACGATGTGGAGAAAGAGAACAAAGATGGAAGGTGCATTTCCTTTTCTTTCCCATTCTTCTAGCCCATGAAAAGATGAACCTCTAGTGTTTTAGAACATGTCTTTCAGGGTTGAATCCATTTTATAAAAGGCAAATTCTTCATTGTTCATTACAGCCTTGAAACAGGCAACCTATCCATAAAAAACTTAACTATTTTTTCAACACAATAAAAAAGATGTTTATCATTGCCATTAAGAGCCCGGCTTTGAATCCAGACAGATCTAGGCTTACATTCTGGTTCTGCCACTTACAATTTATGTAACATGGGCAATTATTTAATCTCAAACACTAAGTCTCAGCTTACTCGTGCCTATTACTAAAGGCTGTGGTGAGAATTAAATTATTTTGGTACAGTGCCTGGCACATCATCAAAGCTTGATAAATGTGAATTTTTATATGTACCCACAGGATTTTTGAAAATTCCACTTTAAAGCTCTCATACAACAAAGGAATAGCCCATCTTTAGGTTGGTTATACCAACCAGTGAGTGTGGCTCTCAAAACACAGTCTCCAGGATGACTGGAAATGGGTGTAGGTGTTTAAAGAGAGCCCCATAATTAGTATTGCATTGTTGTGAAATTAGACCTGGGAATCTAATTGAGCACCTTTATAGAATTAAAATGCTTTCAAGGAGTTGGGAAATATAAAGATATTCAATACGAATGCAGTGAGGTGCTGGGCAGTGTCGCCATGGGAACCTTTAGAAAGCTTCAGAAAACAATGCTACAAAACAAAAGTTTAAGGAAGCCTGCTGAACCCAAGAAAACAAAGCACACAGCAGAGGTGCAAAATAAAGAGAAGTGCAAAATACTTTAATTCCATACCTCTTGAGAAGTTCGTGTTTTATGGTTTTCAGGTGTACCAGAGAACGTTGTTGTTCCTCAAATTTAAATATCTCCACAGTCGACCTCATGTGGGGATGATTCACAACATAAAGGTACACAGTATGATCTAAAGTGGGAAAAGGCATAATTTCCCATAAGTTAACTTCTATTGCAACTATTATTAGACTTGGTGTACAACTTGGTCACATCCAAGAATTTTTTTGTACATCCTGCATTTCAGCCCCACAGTCCACCTGATAGGTAAGTCAGACAAATGCCAGTGTCCCTATTTTATTGAAGAGAGACTCAGAGGGGAAATGAATTGTCAACAACTTTACCATCACCAAGTGGCAGAGCCAAGCCCTGACATTTCTACCATGGTCTCTTCATCCTCACCTGCATCCCTTTTCTAACAGAAAGATACAGAACCACAGTGGTGCATAAACACAGATGTGGTTTTCCCCGATGGCTTTTCAACGGGAGAAGTGAGTGCCAGCAAACAAAGCTTTGCTGAGAATTCTTTTCAGTGAGAATTTCCTACATTGTAAGACACGTTCAAGAAATGTCAGGGCTGTGTGAATATCTAAAATAAGCAACACTTCCCAGCTAGAGAATAAACTTCTGATGCAAGTCAACTACCTGAGGTTGCAATAACAATATTTAGTGAGCCCATGGACGTCCAATGTAAATATGAATGCAAGAGGAAACAGAGTGGATGATTTTAGGTATCACTAACATCAAGAATGTTTAAATCTCTGCTTTCATGTTGGAACATGAACTGCTATGAGCAGGATTGAGGGTAGTAATCTGACTCCTCACAGGACTGTTTTCTGACTTCTCAGGAGCGCTAAGTCAGAGGAGCTCTGGAGTTTGAAAAGGCTGCCCCCATCCTTCTGCGGGACTTGATCTGCATCCATCTCCCCCAGCCCCTCCCTTGATGGGGTTGCCAAGCATATAATGGAGCAAACCCAGGCCCTGAGATGGCCCCCCTAATACAGATACCTTGAGCCGAATTGAGGAAAGGGGCTCCCTCATGGATGAATCTTTCTTTTGGTCTGACCCAGCTCTGTTCCAGGCCACAGGTTTGGCAAGCAGAACTGAGTTGGATTTTAGCCCTCACGTGGCCCTGTAGCCAGACACTCCTGCCAAAGACTGCATGAACAGTAAAAATGCTGCCCTGGCCTCCCCCTTCATTAGGCCTCCACTGGACCCCTCCTTGCCGTACAAGCAATGCTTGGTGAGAATAATGTTCTCTGTCTTCTCATTCCATTCCAATTTATATGTGATGATTTGGCCTCATGAATTAAATGCATGTTTAAGGGAGGTGACCAACAAAGAAAAAGTTGTCCATCATAATATACTACATTCTGAAAGCCTGACTAAATGCCTGAGGGTTAATCTATAAACTATAAACCCAACCAACTCTCACTCTCCACAACAAGAAAAGCAAAAACAAAATACCTCCACCTCTGACACTATCCCATGCAATGAAATAGCTCTAGGTTAGCCGATCACTCATTACACCTTCTCCAGTGAAGCACCATGTCCAGTTGGGTGTCAGGCAAAAAAAGTAGCGATTTTTGTACTATTCAAGTCGAGCCTGGAGCCCTAATTTCACCCAAGTAAAGGACATGGGATTACAAGTAAGACCACCTGGGTTCTAGTTCTGGAACTGCCATTTACTACTGGCAGAAGAGACACCACACTTCGCTGCATTTTTCTAAACTTCATTTCTCTGGCTATAAAACTGAGCAGTAATATCTGAATTGCCTGTCTCATGGGGTTCATTCATTTATTCCTTTAACACATGTTCACAGCGCAGTGGATATGGTTCTAGGCTCTGGGAATCCAGCAATGAACAAGTCACGTATGCTTTTATAATGATTATATTCTAGAGAAAAAAACAGGGAGGAAATAATTAGTAAATAAAAGAAACTGAAGTGGGAATTGCCTTCTTCATAGAGTGGCAGCCACTTGAACAGTGACGATTAAGCTTGGCTCCAAAGATAAGAAGGAGCTCGCTACAGAGCAATAACGGAAGAAGGCTGGTATTTTTAACATTAATAAAATACATTAATTGCCATTTTGATGACTGCTAGATGAGGTGCATTGAGAAGAAATATGACAAGGTGTGTACCCTGAAACCAGATGGTGGGGAAGGCGTCCCTGGGAAAGTGATATATAAGCTGAAGCCTGAGTGATGAGGAAGAGTAAGCCAGTAGTGGAAAGATATTCCAGGCAGAGGGAACTGCAGATGCAAAGGCCCTGAGACATGTAGCATTTTGTAGGACTAAAAGAAATCCAATGTGACTAGTTCGAAGAGACACGGGAATGGTGGTGTCCAGTGAGGCTGGAGAGAGCACCCAAATACCAGAAAGTGTAGGAATAGTGCCTAGGAATCCGGGCTATTTTGAAGATTCAAGGTTTATCTTCAGAGTAATGGGAACATCATGGAGAATTTTAAGAAGAGCGTGATATGATCAGATTCGCATAAAAATAACTGAAAATGGGTTGAGGTAGCATAAGAGAGAAGGGGCAGTCATGGGAAAGACATGTTGGGTGCTTGGACTGGGATGGTGGCAGGGAGGATGGGGAGAAGTGTACAGCCTGGAGAGATACTTAAGAGGGAAATTGGACAGAACATTGTAACCGATTGACTGAATGGGGCAGGGAGAGGAGGGGGGCCAGGTTGGATCCAGGGTTTAAGGAATAAATAAGTTAATAGACATGAAAATGCTTTATAAAGTAGAAAGCAATACAAAATTGTTATGTACAATTACCTTTTTTTTTTTTATCCTCACCCGAGGACATTTTTCCATTTTTTTTACAGACAGAGTGGGAGGGAGAGAGAGGAACAGAGAGAGAGAGAGAAACATCGACGTGAAAGGGACACATCGAGTGGCTGCCACCCGCACAACCGACCAGGGCCGGGGACAAACTGCAACCGAGGTACGCGCCCTTAGTGGGAACCGAACCCGGGTCTCTCAGGACCGCAGGCCGACGCTCTAACCGCTGAGCCAAACCGGCCAGGGCTGTACAATTACCTTTTAAAGAAAAACTTGTTAAACAAATAAGCAGATATACAGGTGTGGGCAAAAGTAGGTTTACAGTTATTCATATGGAAAAAGACATGCAGGTTATGATCATTGCAATAGCTTTATTAACTCAAAAGAAATGCACAATGGCACAGTAAACCTACTTTTGCCCACCCTTGTATAACATTTCAAGGGAATACTTAACCTACTTGATAAAATAGTATTCAAGCATATTTAAAAATACCCATTTATTTTTTTATTTCTTTAATTTTTTTAAAATTCTCATCATTAACTTTTTGTTTTTTATATATAGATAGAGTGGAAGGGAGGGAGGGAAGAGAGAGAGAAACATCAATGAGAGAGAGACACATCGATTGGTTTCCGGGGATCAAACCTGCAATCCAGGTACATGCTCTTGACTGAGAATCAAACCTGTGACCCTTGGACCCATGAGTCAACGCTCTGACCACTGAGCCAAATCAGTCAGGGAGATACCCATTTATTTATACTTGAATGAGTCTGTTGGTGCAGACCAAAGTTATCGGATTAGTGGTTAGAAATAATTGTGAGTCATTCTTTTTCACTCAGTTGAGCAAATTTATACTTAACAATACATTGTAATTCCATAATGTGTTTGGAAGAATTAAAGCATCATTTCTTTAAACGTTCTGAACTGCAACACTTCCATTTGGTCTTCCCTTCATTAGTTACTGTTAGGTTTCACTGTTCTTATTTTCTACATGCTCTATGGACCTACAAGAATTTAAAAATAAAATTGGTCTGGAATACTGAACTATCAACAACTAAAACGTAATATTGAAAAATTTTTTAAAGATATACAGTGTATTAATACATACGTTTTGTTTTTATAACAGCTTTTTTGAAATATAATTTTCTTGCCACTAAACTCACTTTTAAAATGTATAAGTTAGGCCCACCTGATGTGTCTCAGTGGTTGAGTATCGACCCATGCACCAAGAGGTCGCTGGTTCGATTTCTGGTCAGGGCACATGCCCGGGTTGTGGGGCAAATCCCCAGTGGGGGACATGCAGGAGGCGGCCAATTGATCTTCTCTCTCATTGTTGTTTCTATCTCTCGCTCCCTCTCCCTCTCTCTCTAATATTAATAGTGACAAAATAAATAAATAAATAAATAAATAAATAAATAAATAAATAAATAAAATGTACAAGTTAGTGGTTTTTAGTATATTCGCAGAGTTGTACAACCATAACCACTATTTAGTACTGGAACAGTTTTACTACCCCTAGAGGAACATTTTCATTATCCCAAGAAGAAACTGCATTCCCATTAGCTATCACTCCCTGTTCCCCACTGGCCCCAGCCCCTGCAAACCATTAGTCTAGTTTTTGTCTCTATGGATTTGCCTATTCTAGACACGATATAAATGGAATCATGCAGTATGTGGTCTTTTGTGATTAAATCCTCTCGATTAGGCTAGTGTTTACAAGGTTCATTCATGTTGTAGCATGTATCAGTATCAGTTGATGGGAATTTGGGTTATTTATACCTTGGGGGTGTTAGGAGTAAAATGCTGCTATGAACATGTGTGTGTAGTGTTTATGTGGACCTATGTTTTTAGTTCTCTTGGGTATATACCAAGGAGTCAAGTATCTAAATCATATGCAAACTGTATATATAATATTTTGAGGAACTGCTTAACTGCTTTCAAAAGTGACTGCGCCATTTTACAATCTCACCAGCAAAGTGTGAGGGTTCCAATTTTTTTCCCACATTCTTAGACTTCCTACTGGGTGTGCAGTGGTATCTCATGGTGGTTTTGATGAGCATTTCCCTAATAACTAAGGATATTGAGTAGTTTTTCATGTGTTTATTGGCCATTTGTATATCTCTTTGGAAAGATGTCTACTAAGATCCTTTGCCCATTTTTTAATTGGGTTATTTGTCTCTTTGTTGTTGAGTTGTAAGAATTATTTATGGCCCTGGCCGGTTTGGCTCAGCAGATAGAGCATCGGCCTGTGGTCCAGAGAGACCCGGGTTTGGTTCCCACTAAGGGGACGTACCTCGGTTGCAGTTTGTCCCTGGCCCTGGTTGGGTTGTGTGGGTGGCAACCACTTGATGTGTCCCTTTCATGTCAATCTTTCTCTCTCTCTTCCTCTCTCTCCCTCCCACCCTATCTGAACAAAAAAATGAAAAAATGTCCTCAGGTGAAGAAAAAAAAAAGAATTATTTATGTATTCTGGATAAAATCTACTTATCAGATGTATGATTTTCAAATATTTTCTTTTATTCTTTGGTTGTTTTTTTATTTTCTTCATTGTGTCTTTTGAAACAGAAAGGTTTTAATTTTGATGAAGTCTAATTTACCTGTTTTATCTTTTATGTTATGTTTTTAATGTCACAAAACTGTTTTCAAAGGGCCATTAGTTTATAGGTTAGATTTCTGATAACAATATGCAAACTGGTCTTGATGGTCCAATGAGAAGCAAAGGGGATAGGAAAAAGAGGGAGTGACTACTTCTAGTCTCCCTTCTTCAATATGATGTTAAAAAATGTATTACTACACATTTATTATCTTACAAATATATACCTTTGTAGTAAAATAGCATCTTCTCTCCTTTCACATACGTGTTGAGTAGTTGGGAATGAGTGGTTTGTATTTCTTTCATTCCCTCCTTATTCCTAAGCATTCAGGCTTTACCTTCGTCGATGAAAGTATCAATCCCATGTGGATTGAATGATGCTTTGTCAAAACCATCACTGATGCTTAGTTCCTGGACCCTTGGGTTTTGCTCATTCAGATCCATCATGAAGATTTTTCCTGGCTCATTGGGTGCAAAGCTTGGAATGCCTGGATAGTTTAATCCCTATAAAAAACAGAGAATAAGTATGTTCATATATACATACCAAAACAATGTTTTCATAAGGAAGTTAAAATCTCAAAGCCTAACAAAAATGTTCAAAGTTCCAAACTTCTTCCTGATTTCCAGGACTTTTTCCTCTGTCCACTGTTGCCATGATCTTATCTGAGGGATTGCCAATGTCAACTAAAGCACTGAGAGTGAGAAGAACCCAAAGTCCATGTTTAGTACAGAGAGAAGTGGTTTAGCCAAAGAGTACAATGCAAAAAACTAGGCTGTGCTACTTTGTGTGGGTCCGTTGGCCTGCCTGTGCCTCATGTTCCTCTTTTAGAAAATGAGAAAGTTAAAGTGGATGACGGCTAAGAGTCCCTCCAGTCCTAATAGCCTTTAACTAACCCCCCTCAAAGCAGAGAGGAGCGGCGTATGGTTTCATTGTATTGCTTCCATCCCTACATCCATTATATTTTGTAGTAGAATTAGCCAAAAATTACATGGGGGAACGGTTTCAGAGAGTTGACTGTCTCTGACTTATTTTGTTCCTACAGATATGTCTGGAAATGTGAACATGAATCTTTTTCTCTAAATAATGCAGTAAGTTCATTCCAGTAACTTGGACAATGGCTGTTTATTGGAAGGACCAGGTGTTTGTCAACCAATCATAGGCATCCTGAATGCATTGGGCCTGGGCTGCATTGGGCCTCCCAGGTCATTGTGTCAAATCTGGGGGTTGATTTATTCTACACAAGTTACAAACCTCAGCCCACTTCCTCCCCATATCCCTCCACGATTACTCTGATATATTTCAACATCAATATCAACAACCCGGTATCTTTTCTTGTACTCTCATTTTCCCACTTATAATCAATTTAAACTCTCCCTTTCCTACTCTACCTTCTCTGTCTCTCACCTTTTCCCCTCCCTTTCTTATAAACACACACACACACACACAAACACACACACTTACTTATAATAATGCTATTCTTGGACCTTCCACTGTTCCCTGACTCACCCCGTGATGGAGCATGGCAAAAAACACTTGGCTTAGATAAGTGTCATGATGAATGACACACTTCTAATAAAATGGCTTCACATTCACTTGGTTTTCTGTTTAAGGTAGTTGGGTAAGAATTTGTGGCAAGTGACTCCAAACAATTCTTTTGATATCATTCACCACCAAAAATGGTGGTGCAGACATCTTATTTTTCTCAATAGCCTACAGGTATGTGTGGATGGGCATTGAAACCCTCCACTGGCCTCATTTATGAGCACATGCATTCAGTATGCCAGCCGGTATGTTAGGTGCTGAGCATGGCCATGAACGCTCCTATGTCCTGGCCTCGAGGAGCTTGAAATCCAGGCAGGCGGCACCAAGAAAGCCCATCAGAAGTGGTATCATACGTAAGGGCCTGAGCACAGGGAACCCGAAGCACCTCACCCAGCAGGAGAGAGTTGGGGAAGACTTTCCTTAGGAATTCAAGTGCCACCCCAGTGAGACCTCACAGAGAACTACAAGTTAGCCAACACGTGTAAAGAGGGGAATAACCTTGCAGACAGAACAGCTTGCCAAGGACCAAGGCAAGGAAGCTGATGGACTAAAAATATCTGTCTCACAGAATTACCCTTAAAATCAGCAGCTTCTAAATGTGTTCTAGGGTGGCGAGAAAGGGTGACAGGAGAAAATAAGAACAGGGACTTGAATTTATTCCAGTCATAAAGATTAAAAATAAGCAGAGAACATCCTCCTCAGCCTATAAGTATGAGTTATTTGTTAGTTTACAAAAAGAGCTCCATTCTTTAAAACTTCATGTTAACATTTCTCAGGGCATTATTTGTGATGAAAATCTCTATTTTCCATATGGCAATAATTCAGTACTTTTAGTTCCAGTGAAAATAGAAAAGACGCATACGGTAAGAACCACAAATATTATTTCCCAACAGCACAGACACTTTCTAGCCATATAATAATCGTTTTGAAAGGCCTATTTGGCATAACATTGAATCTCTAAATTGGCAATAGAAAATGTAAGTCAACAAAGAAAAAGCTTTTCTGGACAGCTTTGTTTTATCTTTGGTTTTGGAGGAAAACTAAATAAATGAAATCCTTCCCACCCACCCACTCCCACACATATCACCACCACCAGCAATTTAAAATAAAAATGAGACCCTGACTCTACTGTGCATATTTAAGAATTTAGAAATTGAGGCTATTAAGGGCTATTATACATACCCTCTTTTTTTTTTTTTTTTTGGACAAAATGATACAGATTTAAAAGCTCATTTTATTTGGTAGTATTTTCTTGGCTAAAATGGAACTTTAGAACATACGATTTCAGGAATCAGAATTCACATAGAAAATGTAGGTAGTCAATCTACTTTTTCACTATCTTACGTCCCATTTCAAATTGCAACTGATTTAACAAATCTATGACATTTTTCAACATCTTCACAACATATACACTTTCACTGAAATCCAATCCTTCTTGTTGCTCCCTGATCATCCCAACCCATGAAAGTGGGATTGGGAATTAAATGAGGGCTTTTCTCTACTTCTCTTTAAGGAGATGGAAAAAATGATAGGAAACCCAAGATAAAAAGTGCTTAGGGTTTTGAACCGAGTTACATGGTTAACATTGAATCCATAAACATTTACCGAGCTCCAAACACAGGCAGGCACGGAGAGAGGAATACTAGTTACAGAGATCACTACTAGAAGTTGAGGCCCAGGTAAATATGGCAAAGGGTCAGATCTGGAGATTAGTTTAGGAATTGAACAAAATCATTGCACATTTACTGAGACACCACTGAGTTTCGGAACTGCTCACAGGAAGCAAGCCTGAACATTCCTGTAGTGTCCTAATCAGCTCTCCAGAATCCTGTTTTGGCTTTTTTGGTTGACTGGTTTACCCGCAGGTGGAATGAGTGGGTAGGAGTCCATCTGGCAGCATTAGTCGGGAACATTAATGTGCTGTCTGTACAGTTATTGACATGAATATCAAAGGGGTATAGAAGATACTCACACTGGAGATAAAAGCCAGCCCACTAGGAAGTATATCAATATCTTCAGAGCCATATTCTGCAAAAGAAGTGGAGGATCAGAAAGATGCATGTTTGAAGGCTAAAAAGATAAATCTCACAGTCAAAACTTTGAACTTCATTGGAAACTCCATTGACTTTTTGCAACTATTTACTTGGGAAACTATATTAACTTTCAAGAATCCCACAGGCACGTTATTCTACAACAAAAAGTGAGTTAGACTCCAGTACAATGTTCTTTTAGAGTTCCATCTCAGGAGAAAAAACAAATAACTATAAAATATATTGATATCCTAGATTTACTCTTTAAATAATGACTTCTAGGGTCTGTCCTGAGAGATTCAGCTTTATTCCCCACAGAAGACTGATCTGTAGACTAAGTGATAACATTTAGAAAGTCATCATTGTGAAGGTCTTTTAAAGGCCTCTCTGCCAAGCATTTCTTTTCTTCCAACTTGTTGAGGCTTAAAAATTCCATTATTATCTAATCATATTGGGAAAATGTTGAGTCATTGCTCTTTTTTACAAAGGCAATACATCTTATGATGGACTATAAAGTATAAATGAATTTTAAAGAGTTTGGTCAGATTTCTTTCCATTGAGAGCTGGTCTTGAGTATTTTTCTTTGGAAAGAAGCATCTAATAAGCAAATTATGACTGAGATTAGGATGAAAAAGGGGCTTGCATGGCTCCTAGGAGAGAGAGAGAACCAGAGGTGGCATGGTCCAAGCAGGCAGGACTGAGGGTAAAGGTGTCGATTACCTAGTGTGGCAAATGTATGTTACAAATATGGTAGAATCAATATGTATCATGTCCACATGCTCTTCTTAAAATGTGATGTTCATACTCTCCCATCAAGAGGTAAAGTCTGCATTGTCTCTCCTTGAACCTGGGTAGACCTTTGTAACTGCTTGACAAACAGAACGAGGTGGAAGTATTGCCACAGGACTGACAGACAAGGTGAAATAGCTCTTGCTGGTGTTCTCTTTCTCTCTTCCTCCTTTTCTCTTTCTTTCTCTCTTCTCCCCCCACCCCCCACCATGAACCCTGGGAGACCTGGGTGACCTGGACCTAAATGTAAGAAGTCTGACTACTCTCAAGCTACTGAAGAGAAACTATAGAAAGATCACACAAAGGAGAAAGACGATGCCTTAACATGCCCTTAGAAAGGACTGTGTCGAAGCATGACTGTCAGTTAATACGATTATCATGTCACATCTTAGAGCAAAGGTTCTGACAGCCAGCTAAAAAAACAAGAGGAACGTGGTTTTTATTTCCTTCTACTCCCAGCCAGCTTCCTTTTTATTTACTTATTTATTTCTTTATCCTCACCCGAGGACATTTTTCCATTATTTGTTCAGGTAGAGTGGGAGAGAGAGAGAGAGAGACATCGATGTGAAAGGGACACATCGAGTGGCTGCCACCTGTACGACCAACCAGGGCTGGGGGAAAACTGTAACCGAGGTCCATGCCCTTAGTGGGAACCAAACCCAGGTCTCTCTGGACTGCAGGCCGATGCTCTAACCACTGAACCAAACCTGCCAAAGCAAAATTAGGTATAATTTTGATTCATTCACACCAGAAGGCTCCTGTTGTGTTGGCTGCTGTCAATTTTTTATTTTTTATTTTTGACAATCTGAAGGAAAAAAGGTCAGTGCCCCTGCCTAAATAGTTAGTCATTGGAAAGAAGATGGGGCGGGCAGGACCGGAGGGAGGGTGAATGTGTGAGAGAGTGAGCGAGTGTGTGAGAGTGTGAGTGGACGTGAAGGTGGACGACCAAACCCGAGCAGTGCAGAGTAGTGGAGCTCCCAAGGTGCTGGTCACGGAAGCCACAGACAGCCCAGAGCCCAGCACCATCCCCCTTAGTAGCAGCCTGATCAGAGTCCAGATATAACCCCAGGAACAGAGGCTGGGAGCAGACATCTATCCTCAGGCAACAGAAGCACAGACCAGCAGCTGAGACTCATCCCCAAAACTACAGCAAAAGCTGAGCAGGAGTTGAGCCCCACGAGGCAGCAGCACTCCCCAGCCACCAGCCCCGGAACCTGGGGCTCCACAGAGGCCTGTGAAGTCCAGCACCTCACAAGAACAGTGGGAGCCTGAGAGACTGGTGCGATCCAGCTGCCAGCCCGCGGGCACCAGAGAGGCCTGTGCACCCCAGTAGCCCATAACATAGGCATAGAGCCGGGTCCCCAAAGGGGCTGTGTGATCCATTTACCCAAGAGACCTGCAAGGGGGGGGGGGGCTCAGAAAGGCCTATGCGACCCAGCTGTGCACAAGATAGGCATAGAGGATGTGAAAATGGAGGTGGAGTAAATAGAAGCTACGCAGATGATCTTCCAGGACTAAAAGGGAATTACAATTAATATAAAGACAAATCCTTGGCAAAAAGCAACAGAAAAGCAGCAGGACAGGACCATATAACCAGGGACACTGGTAGGATCTGCAGAGTGTGAGAAGGTGGTGGGCTGGGAGCCCATGTACAGCAGCAGTCTTAGCTGTGAGCAGTGCCATTGGGGAATAAAGACCAAGCCCGCTCCACAGCACAGAGAGCCAGACAGAGTGCTAAAATAGCCATAGCCACTCACCTGGGAGCTATGGCAGAGGGAGAGCACACTGGGCTGGAATTCATGGGGATACCCGGGATTTGGAGGGCATTCAGAGTTTTTGCTGACTTGTAGCCGCAAAGAACTATGGCCAGTGTGCTCCTTCCCAGAATGGTAGGGAAAAGCAGCAGCCCTCCCACCCCTTGGAGATTCAGGCTTTCCCAGGGGAAGCAAAGAAATGCAGATTGAGGCTCATTAACAACCAGCCTCTATCCCACCCTCTGGAAATCCTGTTATGCAGAACACCAGGGCTACATTCTAAGGCACTGAGTAACTGACACTACTAGCTACCAGGAAAAAGCTAGAGGATAACTGAACCTTTCCTGGGCTTGCAAATCTAACCAAGAAAGTAAGACTTGAAATCAGTGTTTAATGTGGGCCCACCCAAGCTCATCCAAACACAGTAGAGGGAGCCACAAACAGCAGAACACCAACACCCATAGGGAAAATTTGGCAGGCCCCAAAACCCACTGAGATAGCCAAAATGATTAAACAAACAAACAAATCCCAAATGAAAGAAAAAGAGAACTCTACCGAAGATGAGATAAATAAAATGCAGTTAAGCAAATTATCAGGGGTAGAGTTCAGAGCCATGATTGTGAAGAAGCTCAACAGCATGAGTAAGACATCAGCACCATGAGTAAAGATGTAGAAACGTTGAAAACCAACCAAGTGGAAATGAAGAATGACATAGCAGAAATTAAGAACACATTGGAAGCACTAACCAGCAGAGTAGAGGAGGCTGAGGACCGGATCAGTGAATTAGAAGACAGGGTAGAAAAAAATCAACCAATCAGAAAACCAAAAGGAAAAAACAATTAAAGAACAGGAAGATAGCTTAAGAGAACTGTGGGACAACTGGAAACGTAATAACATTTGCATCATAGGAATCCCCGAAGAGGAAGAAAATGGGCAAGGGGTAGACAATACATTTGAAGAAATAGTGACAGAAAACTTTCCTAACTTGATGATGGAAGAAGGCATTCAAGTTCAAGAAGCAGAGAGAGCCCCAAGTAAGAAGAACCCGAACAGGCCCACACCAAGACACATAGTAATTAAAATGCCAAAAATTAAAGACAAACAAAGAATCCTAAATGCAGCAAGAGATAAGCAACAGGTTACCTACAAAGAAAACCCCATAAGGCTCTCAGTTGACTTCTCAACAGAAACAGTACAGGCCAGAAGGGAGTGGCATGAAGTAATCAAGGTCATGAAAAACAAGGATCTGAATCCAAGACTACTCTACGTAGCAAGGCTGTCATTCAAAATAGAAGGTCAAATAAAGAGCTTCCCAGACAAAAAAAAAAAAAAAAAAAAAAAGGCTAAGTGAATACATTAGCACCAAACCAGCACTGCAAGAAATGTTAAAAGGACTGCTGTAATTAGTAGAAGAAATTGGAAGAAAAATAGAACCACACTAAACAAATATGGCAATAAATAAGTACATATCAATTATCACCTTAAATGTGAATGGTTTGAATGCTCCGATAAAAAGACACAGAGTCGCTGACTGGATAAGAAAGCATGACTCACATATATGTTGTTTACAACAGACCCACCTCACAGCAAAAGACTCACATAGGTTGAAAGTGAAGGGATGAAAAAAATCTTTCAAGCAAACAGAAAGCAAAAAAAAAACCTGGGGTAGCAATACTCATATCTGATAAAGTAGATTTCAAAACGAAGGCCATAAGTAGAGACAAAGAAGGCCACTACATAATAATAAAAGGATCTATCCAACAGGAATATATAACCTTGGTAAACATATATGCACCCAATATAGGAGCACCAACATATATTAAAAACTTTTGGAGGACTTCAAATGAAAAATCGACAGGAATACAACCATAGCAGGGAATTTCAATACCCCTTTGACATCACTGGATAGATCTTCTAGACAAAAAATTAACAAGGAAACACAGACTCTAAATGAAACGCTAGATCAAATGGATTTCATAGATATCTACAGAGAATTACACCCCAAAGCTGCAGAATTCACAATCTTCTCAAGTACACATGGGACATTCTCAAAAATAGACCACATGGTAGGGCTGAAACTAAGTCTCTACAAGCTCAAAAGATTGAAATCATATTAAGCATTTTCTCAGATCACAATAGCATGCAACTACAAATAAATTACAACAAGAATATGCAAAGAGATTTGAAAACATGGAGGCTAAATAGTATGTTATTGAACAATAAATGGGTTACCATGGAGATCAAGGAAGAAATTAAAAACTTCCTGGAAACCAATGAATATGAACACACAACAATACAAAATTTATGGGATGCAGTGAAAGCAATTCTGAGAGGGGAATTCATAGCAGTACAGGCCTACCTCAAGAATCAAGAAAAATTTCTAATAGTCCATCTAACCTTACAACTTAAAGAACTAGAAGGCAAACAAACAAACAAACAAAATCTCAGAGCAAGT